ACTTCACTGTGCGGCGGAGCCTGCCAAACACTTTGAGCGGGTTCGATGACCCGAGAAGGCAGGGATAGAATATCAGGATTAGTGTTTTCATCAGCCTCTGGGGATTCTCTGTGCTGCCTGAGAGATCGGGGCAGTAAAAGGCTTGTTCACGTGTCTGATCACCCCCCCCCCCTGGGGATATTAGGGGTGGAGGGGGGGGTGTGGGGAGGATTGAAATGGATCTTGATTTGCAACTGCTTTCTCCCCCTCCACCCCCACCACCAACTCCCCCTCCCTCTTTCTCTCTCTTTAAATCCCGCCTGACGTCCTACCTCTTTGACTGCTGCCCTGCTCGCCTCCTCACTGCCTCCGTGTCCGTGCCCGAGGCCGTCGCTGTGTGGCGTTCTGTCACGCTGTCCTGCGTGACGGGTGCTGCGTCAACACAAGTCGTTGGCATAAACGCGCCAGTTCTCTCTCTCTGTCTCTCTCTCTCTCTCTCTCTCTCTCTCCGACTCTGAGATATAAAAAGGGGAAGTTTTGTGCTGCAGGATGTTAGTGCACGGGCAGGATATCGTCTGACTAATTAATTTCACAGCTGCTCGGAACACGGCAGTGAGAGAGAGAGAGAGCGAGCGAGAGAGAGAGAGAGAGAGAGAGAGAGAGCGAGAGAGCGAAAGAGATTTATGGACTTTAATCTGTTGTTGCAGGAGAGCTGCCCGCGGGTTTCTTTTGTGTCGGTGCTTAAGAGTGTGAAGAACGCTCTGAGCAGAGAGCAAACCGTAGGGCGAGGCGTGGACGCTTTTGAGAATGAAAAAGCGCGGAGACAGACGGTGGTGTTAACGAAGCTCTCGGCTGCGGTAATTGCAGACGGGCAAAGGTTAATGGATTGTGGGAGAGATAGAGTGCCTTCGTCCGTGGCTGCTATGGCAACCAGTTTACTCTTTCATGAAAATGGGAAATTTAATATCCAGCCGCCAACGAGCACCATCGCTGAAAGAGAAGTGGACGTTTACTCATCGATCGTGTCGATAGTTGATCGGGGAATGCGCGCACTTGGCATTGCCGTGTCGGCCTTGTGCCTCCAAACGGCCAGGGAGTGAGCGACCGATTTTACCCCGGGGGGCAATGTCGGCCAGGACACCGAGAGAGAGAGAGAAACTCCCTTCTCTTTTCCAACACCGTCGCGGGAGATCTTTAACGTCCGCCTGAACAGGGCACAGACGGGGAGGCGAGCGAGTGAGCTTTAACGTCTCATCCGAAGGATGGCGTCTCTGACTACAATGTGGGGTTCTCTTCCCCTCCCCGCCCCAACACTGCACTGGAGCGAAGAGTCAGCCTGGAGTATGCGAGTTAGATTATCTGGGCTCGAACCCATAAACTTCTGACTCGGAGGCGAGAGTGTGTGCGACTGAGCCACAGGTTGACACCTCTCTTGACAAATATCTGACAAAACGGTTTTAACTCCAAAAGTGGTGGGAAGTGTGCGATTGGGAGGGAGGGGGTGGGTGGGGGGGAAGCCCCCGATGTCGTTAAATCCCATCCACCCCACACACCGATTTGTTTGGGTCGCGGTTCCTTATCCCATTTCCCTCTCAGTCTTTCAGCCTTTTGTGAACGACTAATGTATAATTCACGAGCGAGCTGGAAACGTAACTGCCGGGCACTTAAAGTGGGAACGATGGTATCTGACTGTCACATCAGTAACTGGTTACATCTGTCAGGTGGCCCTGTCCACTCAATTACTCCTTGTCCAGAGAACAAGGCAGGCTTGGAGACTCCGAAGCACGGTGACGGGTTTCCGCGTGTGTCAGACACCAGGCTGACCAAAACATAATATCTAGAGAATAAAGGAGGCCTCTCTCTCTCTCTCTCTATATGGGGATATCGTCCTTTCTCAAAAGGGAAATAACACTGTTCGCGATGCGAATAAAGGTCAAATACAACAACAACGACGGCGACGATAGAAACGACGTGCGTTTACACGGCGCCCGTCACCCAGGACAGCGTGTCAGGATTGGCCACAGAATGAGAGAGAGGACGGGAGGAGACCGTATGTGCGTGTCCACGTGTGGGCGCGTGGACTCTACTGCAATTAGGGCCAATTATTTAATAACCACCATATAATTGAATTCATCTGCTAAATCCGTCTGGTCTGAGCCAGTGCTCAAAAACCGTGTGCGTCTTGCATTTAAAGGCATATATTATTTTATATATGGTGTATGCATATCATATATACATATGGGCAGATAGCTTGACCCCCATCTCATCACAGGGGACCATCAGATAATAATAATAATAATCCTGACATTTGATCCAGCGCCTTGTCACGTCGTCCAGACGTCCCAGCGTGGTCACTGCTGGGTGATGCACTTGGCCACCCGAATACCTTCCGCCTCTCAGACCCAAACCCTTGGTGCTATTGAGGGCGATGTTTCCGATAACCACACGCTGCAGTGACGCTTCGTGTCACGAGGCGAATGGAGCAGCTGGCAGGGTGGTTTGAGATGAGAACAGGATGCACCTCGCCTTCCCTGGGGCTTTGCTTCCAGGAGAGACTCAGTCAGTGCCGCACTGCGCAGTGCTGTAAGCGGCTCAGACAGGTTACTGCAGGCACCAATGTCGGTGGAACGTTGCTCTGCCACTGATCTATTGCTCTGCACATTCCTATTGTAACATTAACATGTTAACTCTTATTATTATTATTAACTCCCAGCCTCGGGGGTGGGGTGGTTGTGGGGGGACGGATGGGGGAAGTATGGGCGTCAGATTGGGGGTGTGGGGAGAGGGGGAGACGGTGTGTGTCTGGGGTGTGGGGGAGGGATTTGATCTTGTTCCTCCAGGACCCCCCCCCACCCCCAACTTCCCCCCCTCACCCACTGACGAGCGAGGCTGGCGACTGGCGGCTATAACAGAGCACGAGACAGACGAGCGCAGTAGATGTGCGATTGTTTAATGGAGCCGTGAGTTTAATTCAAATTAAATTAAAACAATAAAAGAAAAAAAAGAGCAAACGTTCCTTCCTTCCCGCTGAGAGTGAAAAGATCCCGGGTGGGAGGGGGAACAGTCTGTGTTGATTTCAGGCTGAATCAAGGCGATCGCTGCGGCGGGAGGGTCGGCAGGACACGGGGCACTTTACAACAGATATTTGCTTCCTTTTCGTCAGACATCTCGAAAGCTTCCATCTAAAACGAAGCCACAGGGAGTTAGTTACCAGTGTTTTCACTCTTCAGCTGGTTCAGTCATTCATTGGTGACAACAACAACAAGTTGGGTTTTCTCAGCGCCCGTCACGCAGGGCATGGTCTCGGAACATCGCACAGAGATGCAGTCGCACGCCCAGCGAGGAGGGTGGGGTAGGTGGGGGTGGGGGGTGGATTTACGGAGGCACAGTAGAAGAGGTAAGTTCAGGTGAGATTTAACAACGACTTGTATTTAAATAGCACCATCACGCAGGGAGAGCGGAGGAGAGATGTGAAATACCTGTATAAACATTCCCTCGGCGACAGTAACTCACCTAAAACCGTGCCTCTGAGAGTACTTTCCTGCTGACGGTTCACTGGTCGGTTTGGTGTGATGAGAACGGGCTGTGCCGCTTCTGAAAGACAATCAGCAGCTGCCGTTACACTCTCAGCCTGAGCCGCGCTTTGAGACACCACTACCACCACGACAACAACATCTTGCATTTACACGGTGTCCCTCACACAGAGCAGCGTCCCAGATAGCTTGACCAGTGGCGGAGCACGAATCTAGTATAATTATTATTATTATTATTATTAATTACTAATTGTAATTGTGATGATGATAGTTTACCCGTTGACGGTGCGTGTGCAGAGCCAGAGCGAAGGATGTGATCACCAGCAGAAAGCCCACGACCAGCAGTACGTACTGTAAGGCTTGCAGTAAGGCTGGCACCACCACCATGTAGTGGTAGAAGGTGGATACGATGGGGCCGTCCATTCTGCCGCTCTGTGGACGAAGAGAGTTCAGCGCGGCTAAGGTCAGCGCAGTGCCGCGCCGCGCCGAGCCGAGCCGAGACCATCTAACCCGGACGGAACGACTCCCCCGGTGACCGAGCCGTCAGTCGGCAAATTCGGTCTCGGTTTTGAAGGTGTCTTTTTTTTTTGCGATGATTTGGGGTTCAGGGTTGGGCGGTGAGGGTGGTGGGGGGGGCTGGGGGAAGGTTTCCTTACCTCATCGAACCAGATCAATGGCAACAGGAGGGTCCGCATTTTTCCCGTGATCCTGCAAGGAGGAGAAACACGGGGGTGAGAGAGAAAAACGGCGGCTCGGTTGGTCGGTCAGTCGCCCCGTGACAAGACCATTCACGTTTATACAGCGCCTCTCACGTAGGGAGGACATCCCATAGCGTCTTACACAGCCTGAAGCCGTCTCTCAAGCCATCTTTCCTTATTTAAATAGTAATCCTCATCATTTCGCTGAGACATCTATCTCGGAGAGCGTCGCGGGATTTGGCTGCGAAGTGTAGTGACTGTGTATTTTGCAGGCGAACGCAGCGGCCAATTGCTCACTGCGACACCCCTCCCCTCCCCTCCCCGCCCCCACCCCCCCACCACCCCAGCGCGAACATTGTTATGCGGGGGATTGCGGGAATTGTCGGTGGGTTATTCCCCTCGATGCCAGGACCACACCAGCCCCCGTCCCCAGCCGCAGGAGCTCTACCTGTTATTTTTAACCCACGAATGAGCCAAGCAAACAATCGCTCTCTTTAGTATCCCTTCACCCGTACGTCAGTGTCAGTCACTCACTTTATTCCTTTGACCTCTTTTGTAAACAGGTTCAGCTGCAATTTGATGGAGACATTCAATGGTACTCCGGTTAGCTAAAAAAAATACAGTATATATATATATTATATACATGTATGCACACACACGTGTAGATTTTAATTCATGGTAGAAAAACCTTAAACCACAGAGGAAACGGTGCCGTGTGAGGCGGTTGGGCACAATAATATCATTTAACATAATAATCCTGTCGGTTCGATCGCCTCTCGAAACTCAAATTGTGTTTACTTTCCGGTGAACACGGCAGCCAATTGTATCTCTCGACCCCCTACTCCCCCCACCAAGAGAACATCGTTATAGGGGTGCGGGGTGTGGATTGCCAGTGGGGTTTTACCCCTCGATTGCCAACCCCTCGCCACCCCACCACCTTTCGTTTCAGTGTTCACGACTCTGAAACGACTAATTTTACAAGCTTAGGCATAATCATTGATTGCAGTTCCCAAACCAATTGACCTTTATGTCTGCAGATTTCAGAATATGAGTACGTGCACACACTCTAACTGCTCGGATAGGCTCTGCGGTCAGAGATTAGCTTTGCCAAAGATTCCACTGAGTTGGGAGTTTCCACATACAAACACCTCTTAACCCAGGTTTTACTGCGCCTGGGTCTCTCTCTCTCCATCTGTCTGTCTCCCTGTCTGTCTCCTTCCTTCCCTCCCTCCCTCCCTCTCTGTCTCTGTATCTCTCTCTCGGCTTTTCCTGACGATCTTTGTACCATGTTGGCAATTGAGAGTCACTCATTCTGTTGATAAGGTCCCTAATTTAATTAGAATTATCTCTAAAGCCTTCTTATTCGCTTTTTAAATTATTTTCTTTGAGACTTGACACACTAAATAGCTGCAGGTGTAACTTCACCGAGGGGCCGGGGTGGTGATGGGGAGGTGAGGGGGGGGGGGTTACACTAAGACTCTCCCCACCCCAAATCGCCCGTGCTGGGTGGGGTCTTGGAAAGAGTGATCTGTTCAGTCCAATTTGCATGCCTTTAAGCGTTCCGAGACGCCAGTCCACGGGAATGCAAGTTGTTGTTAATACTAATAATAATCTTTGCATTTGATACATCGCCTTATCATGTCGTTGAGACGTCTTAAAGCGATTCGCAGAATATACTGTAAAGTGGAGTGAGCTCATGGGCGAAACCCGGCAGCCCATTATGCACAACAGCGTCCCACAAATTCAGGTTTGAGGTTAAGATATGTGCAGTCGGTAATTGCATCATGAAACCACTTTTTAATAATACACCTGGTAAATCAAATTATAAGAGGTACCTTACACGATGGAATGCAGCAGTAATAGCGGCTAATTAATTTATGACCGGTTGGGAGAACAACCTTGAGTTTACTGTAGATGCAGATCTCAGCACCCAAGAGAACAGAGAACACTCAATAAATCCACCCCCACCCAACCCCGCTCCTCTCCCCCGGATAAAATCCCTCGTTCCACTTCGAGGCTGTTTTCGGGGACATTGCTGTGGGCAAACCGAGCTCCATGTTTCGCACACAGTCATTACACTTCGCACAGGTTTGGGGGGACGTCGTGTTCTTGACAGCGCAAGTAAAGAGTAAGATATCCAAGCGCAAAGATTAGTTTATTCTGATAATGTATCTGCCGGGTTAGCGTGACTGTCTGAACGATTGCCCTCTCTGGAGAAAGTGCTGGCTGGGTAGGCGCCTTGCTCCATGTGTGTGCGTGTCCGTGACGTATGTTTACGACGTGTTAGGTAGGTCCCACCTCTGTGCGTGCACATGTGTGCGACATCTACCGCCCCCCCACCCGACCCCACACCCACCCTTCGCTGCACCAATGCTGGGCTGAAGGCCGTACTCACTGGATGGATGTCGATGAAGAGCCCATGTTCCTCCTCCGTGGGGTTGAGGCCGGCCACAGCCTGGCTCAGCGCTGGGTCCCCATTGAAGAAGTGCGGGTGGGAGAGGAAAGACCTGGGAATCTACAGGCAGAATAACAGCGTGTGAAGCTCCACCCCAACCACACCTCAAATCCCCTCAATCCCCCCAAATAATAATAATATAATAATGATGATAATTATCCTTGCATTTGATACAGCGCCTTATCACGCCTTCGAGAATATACTATGAAGTACAGTGCCTGTGTATTTTATGGGTGAAACTCGGCAGCACAATTGCGCACAGCAATGTCCCCACAAACAGCTACGAAACGAGTGACCGATTTTATTTGGGCAATTGTCGGCCAGGACACCGGCAGAGAGAGAGAGAAACTCCGTTCTCTTTTCGAACAGCGCCACGGGAGATCTTTAACATCAGCCCTGAACAGGGCACAGATGAGGAGGGGAGAGAGAGGTTGAACGTCTCATCCGAATGACGAAGGACAAACAAAGACGGTTAAAACAACAAAAGGTGCGGCATACTTAACCGGCACGTGCTGGCGTTCATCGCCCCTGATTCCCGGCACGGGCAGAAGCCTTGGTTGGGCGGGTAGTCCTGCCCATTGGCAAACATGGTCTTCGGTGCCACGTACCGGAACGACGGCAGACGCAGAGTTGTGCTCGAGCGCTCGTACACCAACTCCAGCGACCTGGTACCATATATACACAGTCAAGCAAGCGATTCCCTAACCCATGCGGGCAGTGAGGAGGTGAGACAGTGAGGGAAAGAGGCGGAGAGATGATCAACAGGCCTGGGATGTGATTTCACAGGAATTTACTGTAAAATCTCTCTGTCCTGCTTTAAAAAATATCCTTCGCACAAACAAAATCTGTATCTCATCGACTCTTGTGCCTGATATTCTGTGTGTTTAGGGCAAGCAGAGAGTGTCCTTAATAGGATGGAGTGGAATGGATGGAGCGCTCTAACCAATACGCTGCAGGGATCCACAAGGATAATAATAATAATCCTTGCATTTGATACAGCGCCTTATCACGTCTTCGAGACGCCTCAAAGCGCTTCACAGGATACACTATAAAGTGGATTATCTGTATATTTTGTGGACGAAACTGGATCCTTCCAGGGGATGAGAGTGTGGTAAGGAAGGAGAGAGAGAGTGAGGGAGGAGAGAGAGAATGTGTAGTCTGTTACAGACACGCATAGATTTCCATGTGCAGGTGGTGTACATACGTGGAACTCTGAGTCTGGTTTTGATCCTCTTAAGATGTGAAAAGCGCTCTATAAGTGCAACCTGTTGTTTGAGTTGTGGTGGTTGTGTCAAACACATGTGCCTCTCGTCTCTCTCGCTATCACTCTGCCCGACTCGGAAACCGACTGCTCGACTCACCTGCAGGCATCGGGACTGTAGAACTTGAGTGTGTCCGAGGGAGTGCGGAATGGAGACCACATTTCTCCTGCTGTTCCATTGATCATGTTGCACTGAGTGGAGTTCCAGTAACTTACCTAGAACGTAGAGAATTCACACCCACACATACACACGCACACACTTAGCAATAGCGTAGAGGAGACGAGATCATTTCATTTTCACGTCAATTCGATTCGATTTAATAATTTAATTAGGATAATCCTTGCATTTGATACAGCGCCATATCGAGTCGTTGAGACGTCTCAAAGCGCTTCGGAGAACATACTGTACAGTGAATTGACTTGTATATTTTGGGGGAGAAACAGGTGAGGCCTAAAACAGCCTGTAAACAGGAACTCCGTGTTCTCACCATGTTATTGCCGTTCCACTTATCCAGCTGATGAATTTTATTAATGTGGTCGAGTCCCGTGTTGACTGTGAACAAACCCGTGTCTGTATTGTTCATCTGTGAAGCCAGAAGACAAGAACAATCTGTCACATTGTGCCCCCGTTGGACGGAAAAGCAAGTCGTGGATTGAATGACCCCATTTTTTTTTCCCTTTTAAGGGTTTATTAATAACCCCGGAAAGCGTTCCGCCCTATTGACTAACAGCTGGGTTCCTACTTTACTGCAAGGTAAACACAAGCATGTGTGTGTGTTCTTCTCTTCGACCATGCCATTAGTCAACCCCCTTCCGCTCCCATCCCTTCTCCCCCCTGATCCCAGCTCAGGTCTGAAATGCTGTGCACTGTCCAGCGCCTTGGGATGTCCTCCCGACGTGAAAGGCGTTATACAAATGTAATGTTGTTGTGTGTGTGTGTGTGTGCGTGGAGTAAAAAAACTTGCTTAAGGTCTCGCACCATCCCGCTCACGAATCAAACCCGGGTCCTCTTGCTTTCGGTGCAAGGCGTGCTAACCATTACATTACTGAGACTTATTAAAGTCTAATAAGGGGAGGGGTGGGGGTTGGGGGGTGAAGGAGATGATACAAAGAAGGGCGCACTCCGAGGTCACGGCTAGAGAGAGACACGGAGATTGTCTGCTCCAGTCTGTGCCGCAAAATTTCATTCCCTGATATTCCCAAGCTTTGAACCTCCAGCCAAACGCCCCGCGCTGGAGTGTGGGGGAGCGAGGAATACTCACTTCAGCGAACAAACCAAATTTGTCGTTAGAGGATATCATGCCTGGGAAAATACTGTTAAGTAGGTCGATGAGAGGGTCATTGTATCCCCACAGAATCTCCCGCACCGTTTTTCTGAAGAACAATGTCTGATTAAGCTGCGTCATGGCATCGTTAAAGATCAGCTTCATAAGAGGGGAGAGGTTTTCGGCCATCAGTGCCCCACCCTGAAGAGGGAACAACAACAACAACTTGAATTCATACAGCGCCCCTCACGCAGGGTACTGTCTCGGAGCACTTCACAGTAATGGAGTTCGACACCGAGCCGGGAGGAGGTAGCCGTAGGCACGGTCGAGGGGGAAGGTTTTCAGGCACGACCTGAAAATGGCATAGGAAGGGCAAGGCAAAGTGATACAGGGAGAGCGTTCCAGAGTTTTGGGGTGTAGAGGTAGGCGGAGGCAGCGAGCAGTGGGTTAGGGGGTACGCAGAGTGAAGCAAACACATACCAAAGCCAGCATGTTGGGCAAGACCAATTCATCGCTCTCACTGCCAGCAGACCGTTCGGCACAGAAATGAAACTGTCGAATGCTTCGATACGAGACGGTGTAATTGTCATTAAAGGTTATATTGTCCTTCGGTCTGTACTCTCTGTAAAATCAACAGCAACAACAAATGACATTTATGCAGCGCCTTTCACATCGGGAGGACGTCCCAAGGCGCTGGACAGTCAGGGATTTGGACCTGAGCTGGGGGGTGGAGGGCAAGGAGGGTGATTGAAGGTATGATCGAAGAGAAGAGTCTTGGGATGGGCCTTGAAGGAGGTAAGGGAGGGAGCAAGAAGTTGAAAGCACTGTGGGATGGAGTTCCAAAGGGTGGGGGCAGAGAGGCTGGAGGCCTGACCGACGACAGTGGGGGCGGGCCGGGTGGGGGACATGGAGCAGGCTGGAGCCTGTTGAGTGGAGGGAATGGACAGGTCGATCAGGAGTAGTGAAGGGCAAGAAAGGTTGGGGTGGGGGTAGGAGGGTGACCGAAGGCACGGTCGAAGAAGAGGAACCAAATCAGAGAATCAGAGACCAAAACAGGGTTCTCGCACCTCAAAATCTCCCGAACCGTGCGAGCGAGCGCTAACATTTGCGAATTGCAGTGGCCAGAGGCGTGGTACCTGTACACATAAGGTCCTCGCTGAGCCAGAGCAGGCTGCTCCCCGCGAAGGATTCCCTCCGGATTTAGGATCTCGAAGAAGTGGACGGCCATGTAGAAGGGCACGGGAACGTCTCGCCACATGGGGTAGGCCAGGCTGTTACTGGGATCGATCTGTACGTTCTGGGGAAGAGCGAACCATGGCGGGAGGCCGCACTGTTAGCTTCAAAGCTGAACCTTTACAAAGGAGCCGTCATACACCGACATCAACATCGTCACAAGATCACAAGGTCAGACTGGATCAAGAAGGCCCTTTGATCTCATCGAGGCCCTCCTGATTGGCTCCCGTCAGCGCCTCCTCACCTCAGGCACTGACAGAATCATCATCCGTGGATGCACACTCCACCTCACTGAACCATTCCGGAAGCCTTGACGTCTTGTTTGACCCTCAATTATCCTTTTTACCCCACATCCGTGCCATGACCCGCTCTGCCTTCCCCCACCTCCGCAACATTGCCCGGCTCCGCCACTGTCTCACACCGCAGGCCGCCAAAACCCTCATACATGGCATTCATAACGTCCAGGCTTGACTACGCACACTCCCACCTGCTTCACGTCCCCCGCCTCGCCCGCCCTGCCATTGGTGGGCAGGCCTTCAGCCACTCTGCCCCCACCCTCTGGAACTCCATCACACAATCCCTCCACCTCGTCCCCTCCCGTGCCTCCTTCAAGACCCATCTCAAGACCCTCCTCTTCGACTGTGCCTTCAATCACCCTCCTTCCCCCCCCCTGCCCTCCGCCCTCTCCGATCCCGACCTCCAGCTCGGGTTTGACACACTGATTGTCCAGCACCTTGGGACGTCTTCCCGATGTGAAAGGTGCTATACACATGCAATTTTGTCGTTTACATAATGGACACGTGAACTTCACCTATTTGAACCATGTAGAGAATTTAGTGTGTCATAAAGTTGATGTAATTATCGTGTGTGTGTGTGTGTGGGGGAGGGAGTAATAAAATTGATAATAATCCTTGCATTTGATAGAGCGCCGTATCACATCTTCGAGACGTCTCAAAGCGCTTCACAGGATAATGTACTGTAAAGTGAATTGACTGCATATTTTGTGGGTGAAACGCGGCAGCCAATCGCGCACAGCAGTGTCCCACAAACAGTCGTGGATTGAGCAACCGAATTATTATTATTGTTTTTTTAAAGGGATTATTACCTCCAGAAAGTAAACTGCCAATCGACTAACAACAGGGGAGCCTACTTACTGCGAGGTGGGCTAAGAAAAATTGCCTAAGGTTGCGCCCTGCCCAGGAATCAAACCCAGATTCTCTCACTTGCGAGGCGAGTGCTCTATCCACTAAGCGTGACAGGGTGATTAAACATTATATAACACTTCATACACTCACATGATCAACTTGGCTATTACGGGCCATTTGAACATTGTTCTCGCCAACAAAACAAAAGACATAACGCAGCTCATAAAAATAATTCTTATTATCACTTGGGTCCATTTAGGTCACAGCGACAGCAGAGAGCTGTGTGGAGATTGCAGGCGTCTGAGTTGCTACCATCTCACACTTATTGTGATTTCTGTAATAAATGTGGCTGGCGTCTGTCGTGTGGACAGCCGGTGTGGAGGAACGTACGAACAGGAGTGGGCTATACAGCCGCTCGAGCCTGTTCCATCATTCTATTAGATCACGGCTGATTTGTACCTCAACTCCAATTACCCGCCTTTGCTCGATATCCCTTGCTATCCTGACCTATCTACACCCCTCGCCATCACGGCAAACGCATTCTAATAATGATCCTTACATCTGGTCCAGCGCCTTATCACATCATCGAGACGCCTCAAAGCGTTTCACGGGATATAATGTAAAGCGCTCCGAGACGCTGCTTCGCGTGAAGGGCGCTATATAAGTGCAGGTTGGTTGTTGTTGTAGTGAAGTGTAGTGACTGTGCATTTCGTGGACAAAACGTAGCAGCCAGTTACGCAGAGCAGTGTCCCACAAACAGCCGTGGAATGAGCGACCAATGTTATTTATCTGGGGTATTACTGGCCAGGACACCCGGAGAGAGCGAGAGAAAGAGAGAGAGAAAGAAACTCCTGTCTCTTTTCGAATAGTGCCGCGGGAGATCTTTAACGTCCACCTGAACTATAGGCAGGAACGACAGCTATAACAGCACCAAAGTACTGAACCCCGAAACTCACCTTAATGACCTGATCCCGCATGATGATTGGATTGATGAAAATCAGAGTGACCCCCAGGGTTGTGAGCAGCACTCCTGTGACCGCCAGGGCCAGCAGGGCTCTCCACCCACAGCTGCTCATCTCTGGCACAGTGTGAGCTGAGCCTCTGCCCAGTCCCGTGCCCGCTGACCTCCCGATTCAGTGACAAGGAGCAGCCAGTCCTGAGGTCAGAAGGAGTCGGTAGTCATTGATAGGAAAACACCACCCACCGTCCCCCAGAAAAAAGCACACACACACCCACACCGCCCATTTCACACACACACACACCCATCACACACTGATCGCCCCTACCATATACCACCCCCCACACGCACCTGCCACACACACACAGACTCCCACCCCCCAAACACACACACACTGCCCCCCACCCACACAGACAGACACCGCTTTCCATTTACCACTTGCCTTGCCTGAGGTTCCTGTGTCCTCACCCACTATCCACTCCGCTCATTCCCAGCAGGTTCTGTGGCAGCTTCCAATAGCAAAGTTGACCTCTGGAACTTGCAAATCAGCTTTCAAGGGGCCGGCGTGTAATAAGGAGCACATTAACTCCCCCCACGCAGATCTCAGCACATCCTCGCCCAGGTTGTGAACAGCTGGGTTGGTGGGCAGCACGAAGATGATCGATGTGAATGAGGGTCCCACTTGGAGAATGGATTGCTCTGAGGTTAATACTTGCTCGTAAGTTCAAATAGTTCAGTCCTGTAAATTACAGCAGATTAAGTACTTTATAATATTAAACCCTTGGTTAATAAAACCCTTAACGATGACAGTTAATTCACATGAGCATGAAGCAAGTCAGCAGTAATATTGGACAAAGGGCATTTATTCTTGTAAGGAAGATGACTTTGGTTCGATTCCCGGGCAGGGCGAAACCTTAGGCAAGTTTCCTTACTTCACGTGTCTCTGTTTACTAGTAGTAAGTAGGAACCCGGTTATCAGTGGTTTGGCAGATCGCTTTTCCGGGGGTAATAATCCCGCTCCCCCAAAAAACTCACAACAATTTGGTCACTCAATCCACGACTGTTTGTGGGACGCTGCTGTGCGCAATTGGCTGTCGGGTTTCTCCCACAAAGTATACAGTCATTTCACTTGACAGTGTATCTTGTGAAGCGCTTTGAGACGTCTCAACGATGTGATAAGGCGCTATATCAAATGCAAGGATTATTATTCCCACGCAATGTAACAATGGTGAGAACCTGAGATTACACGTTAAAGCCAATAATTTATTGCTAAACGTTCAGCCACACGAGCAAAAACAAAGTAAAATTATAGTCCTATTTAGAACAGGAATATCTAAACTTTTTTTATTGTGTCATTAAAGAGTTGGTTTCTCTTTAATCCACCCACCAGCAGCTCTCACCTTTCTTCTTCCTCTCCTTAAGAGCCTGACTCCCTCCAGTGGTATGGTTCTGTGTCTATCAGGAACCTCTCCAGGTGTCTGATCCACACAGAAACCTATCCCCGTGCATCTGAGTATCCAAACCAGACTGAGAGTCCCACATGAGTGCACCAACTACACACTGACATTTCCCTGTGTCTGGAAATGTATTTATTTATTTATTTATTGATTGATTTTGGTCAGCAAGATCCACGTGGAAACCTATCACCATTCTTAAGAGTATCCAAACCCAACGGAGAATGTCATGCATTCCACCTTCACATGGAAATCCCAGAGATAGATTGTTGAAATGGATTGCTATACTCTCTCTCTCTCTCTGGAGGGACGCACTCTATCCCCAGAGAGTATTTAGGAACAGGCTAGCAAGAGCCAAGAGTGTGTAGTGTGTGTGTGTGTGTATTGCATCTTTTTTCATATATCTTTCATGTAAAATGAAAGTTTTTATTTTGCGAATGAAGGCTTCTCAGTGTATTTGTGCCACAGTAATTCTATTTTGTTATGCAACGACGCTTGAAGTTGATAACAGGAGCGAAATACGCTGTAATTGTGTTTTATTGGAGAGAGCTATTTCAGTCCACATCATGGGACGAGTTTCAGCAGGTGACCAGTTGCAGCTTCGCAAACGGTCAGAAAAAGAATTCAGAGACTTTTTCCTGGTGTCAAAGGAGAAGTCAAAGTGCTGTGTCGAATGATGATGGAATCCTGTAGTGGTTATCACGCTCCCCTCGCAAGTTCCCGGGCAGGTTTAATTCCCGCGCAGGGCGAAACCTCAGTCAAGTTTACTTACTTCATACACACGCCTGTTTACCTAGCGGTAAGTAAGAACCCGGATGTTAGTTGATTAGCGGATCGCTTTCTGGGGGTAATAATCCCTCAAAAAGAAATTGGTAACTCAAGCTGTATACAGTATATTCTGTGAAGCCCTTTGAGACGTCTCGATGACGTGATAAGGAGCTGTATCAAAGATTATTGTAATTATTATAATGTGCACAAAAAACACACCCTGTGCGAATCCAAAACCCAGCGTAGCGATCACGATATAGGGACACATTCAAATCTCGCACGTTAACAGTTATTGCTTTATTGCGGACATCTTTTAAGATTTTCAACAATAACCGAAAAACACTACGTAAAAAGGCCCTCAATGAGCCCTTAGAATTTCACAGCCAAACACAGTGATCCTGACCCAGCAGAACGACAGTAGCAGTTTACAAAAGGTACAAATAACAGATTTGCACTGCGACGGACAGAGAGGGTTTTGGCACAAGGTGAAGTGACAACTGCTGTACGTTCTCAAGCATACTCGAATGGAGTTGACTATTTGCTAACTGCATGTTATAAAATATATATACCAGTACTTTAAAATAAAACTGGCACATTTGTGTGTGTGTGTGTGTGTGTAGCATTTTTTTGTCACTCAGAATCAGCAGCTGTGAACGAACGCTTGATAATTGAATCGTTCATCTGTACTCACTAGTACCAGTGGTCAAATAGTGCACAGCAGGGCAATGCTTAATGTGTGCGTTCACTAACAAGGGGAGACAGAGAGAGGGAGAGAGAGATAACGCCAGGTCACTGGAGTAATTCTTACCACTAAGTAAGATGTTTGCGATCAGAGGAAGCTATTCTCTGATTGCAGAGCATGACGGTTTCTCATTCAGACCATATTAAACAATATGAGCGAAACAATGTGATGGGAGAAAATGTGCCTGAAATTTCTGAGGATCCAAAATATTCCTCTTTCTATTCCATTCGCACTCAGCCCTCGTTAAAACCACTGCACCAGCCAAACCTTTCCATTCGTACCGTAATACTGAAACTCGCACTGTACTTGGGATCAGTCCGGGTTTAAATCGCTGTAACAAGGGAAAGTCTTGTATCAGAATTTCAGCAGGAAAAACCTCCTTAAGAAGGACTCTAGCTGGAATCATTCAGATTTCCAGGTAGATATAATAATAATGATCCTTGCATTTGATATAGTGCTTTTCACGCCTTCTCAACGTCTCAAAGCGCTTCACAGAATAGACTGTAAAGTGAACTGACCGTATATTTGTGAGTGAAACGCGCACAGCAGTGTCCCACAAACAGCCGTGGATTGAAAATGACCAATTTATTATTGCTTTTTGTTTTGGAGGGATTATTATTAGGCTCTGTGTGGAGTAAGGAAACTTGCCCAAGGTTTCGCCCTCTGCCTGGAATTGAACCCAGGTGTCTCGCTTGCAAGGCAAGTGCTCTAATCACTGAGCTACAGGACTCCACGTCCAATATCCACGCCTTTCCCGGAACGATACACGTCAGCTTATTTTAATTTGGTCAGCTGGGTGTCTGACACATGTGGAAACCCGTATATATGTGCGCCACCTACACGTGTGAAAATTGCCCTGAGTCTGGCAGGTCAATGGAGGAAATTGGGCAAGTAAGAATGAACACAGAGTGATGTGCTCCAGTGCGTTGGTAGGAACAGCAGAGTGAGATAGCATCATGGGGGCATGAGAGGAAATGCCAACAGAGTGATTACACGTCTCCTGATTTACCCCAACATCCTTCCTTCACCAGGCAGAATGCCACAGGGGCCGAGGCGAGTGAAACTATTGGAATGTCTGATACGTTTAGAATGAAGAATGAATTAGTTTAGTCCTTACAGCTTTATTCAGAAACTCTGCAGCTTGTGTCCTCTCCCATATCAAACTCCTTGAGGACGAGGACCTTGAACTTGATCCTCTGGGAGGCGGTGAAGCCGGACGAGGGTGGGGGGTTGATTGACTCACGGAGCTTGGCGTGGGAGAGGACACGGGCCATAGAGTTCTGTATGATCTCTGGCTTGTGAAGGGAAGAGTTGGGGAGTGGGGTGAGCAAGGAGTCAGTGTAGTCAAGCCTGGATGTAATGAAAGTGTGGTGATTAATTTCCTGCAGACTTCCTTGTCAGACAAGTCCTGTACCGCTCAGTTCCCAGCTCACTTTGAAAGTGAACCTTTCCCGTTCCCAGTCTGATCAGGCAGTCACTACACTCCCCTAAGCTCCACGGACAAGTCTTCCTGCTGTTGGTAGGACTTTGTGTGGTCCATACTGAACCCGGAGGGGGGATAGAGGGGGGGAGGTAGCAGGACAGACAGAGCTGGGTTGTTAAAGATGCTGTTTACAATAATCTGCTAGTAAAATAACCTTCTCGTTATACGCTGATAGAAAAACTCGCCTCAGGGATTTGCACACTGGTGCTTGTCCCTGAGGAAACACTGGCAAGTGAGCGGGTCCATTTTGAGTTGGGGTGTTTTTTGGTGGGGGGGTGGCGGGGAAAAAGGTTTTGGTTAGTCAACAATAAAACTTTTGTGCATTCTGTGCAAAGTTAAAGTGAGGGAGGGGAGAAAAATATATATTTATATGTGTAATAAATTGGGTATTAGGGGCGGTGGGAAAGAGAGAGAAGGGAGGAGAGAGAAGAGAGGGAAGGGGAAGAAGAGAAGATAAAAATAAATGGTAATAAACATTCTCTCGGCGAGCGAGCTATCAGTCCAGTGGTGTCAGGAATGGTCAAGCGATGTGTAGTCAGGGGGAGCGGAGTCACTGGGCAGGAGTGACGAGCTTTCAGAGGAGGCTGGGCTGTTGTCTCGACTGATGATCTGAGTGGAACAAACAGGCGGCGATTACAACAGTTTTAATCAATCTTAATCCGTGGACAAAGACCAAAAGCTAAACCGTGGGGGTGGGGGGAAAGCAAAAGCGAGGATAGAAAGATAGTCAACTGCAAGGATTGCCGTTACATCTAAGGTAACGGTTGTATTGCCGGGTTATAAAGGAACTTGATTCGGTCAAGTGTTAGAGAGCGCGAGCGGTGAGGCTAACTCTGGAGCCGACACTGAGGGAGGGTGCGAGAGAGTAGTGGGTAGCCATGAAGATTGAATCGGAAGAGAATACATCATTAACACAAACAGGTGCAGTTGCCAGTTTATTAGTGTTTGCAATCCCCAAACCGTTTTTTTTATTTTAGTAAATACGTTAAAACATGCGGTTATACAGTACACCTGGTTATACCTAGTTAGTTAAGTACACCTAGACAGTTAACGGTTTATAACCACGCCTGGACGGTGTTTAAAAAGCATTTATACTGTAATAATTACTGTTATTTTGTCTGCAGAGAAGCACTTTGAGACGTCTAGAAGACGTGAAAAGCGCTATATCAAATGCAAGGCTTATTATTATTGTTGTTGTTAATTTTAGAGTTTTTTTCCTGCACGTGCAAATGAGGGGGTAAAGATTCATCACTAACTTAACTTACTAGTCACTACAGATGAAACCATCACCAGAGAATCCTGAGCCCTGAGTTTTGTGCGTATGTGAGTGTATGTGTGTGTGTGTGTAAGTATGTGTGTAAGTGTAGTGTGTCTGTGTGAGGTGTGTGCTTGTGTGTTGGGTGCGTGTATTGCATGTGTGTGTGTGTGTGTGTACACAAATATAAACAGCTACCCACCTACTGAGCACCTTCAGGGGTCTCGGTGCAGTTAGCAGTTGCTTTTGCTGAATCAAACCGTTTCTCCTCATTACCTTCAGCGCATTGCTTACTACTATTCCCCAATAACACGCTTCTGTCCTACAAAATAATCATTCCCAGGTTTATTTGGATACTTCTCTCTTTTTTTTGGAACAGGCATTCCACAAAAGAAAAAAAAAACAACTACACACACAGCCAGAAACATAAAACCAGTGTACAAGAATGCCCTCCTTTGCTCATGACTTCCAGGCTTCCTGCATCAATTGCCTTTAACACAGATTCCAGCGCCTTAGGACGTCCTCCCCACGTGAAAGGTGCTATACAGATGTAATTTATTGTTGTTTTACCTCACTCCTGCTCAGACTGTTTTAATTTCAGGGAATTTTACACGGGCTGAGGACTCCAAAACATTCAGTGCGTGCACGGTTACTTCTGTTTTAACGAAAGAGTTTAGGATTGATATAGTGGAGTCCTGTAGCTCAGTGGTTAGAGCACTCGCTTTGCAAGCGAGAGACCTGAGTTCAATTCCAGGCAGAGGGCGAAACCTTGGGCAAGTTTCCTTACTCCACACACAGAGCCTAATAATAATCCCTCCAAAAAACAAAAACAATAATAAATTGGTCATTTTCAATCTACGACTGTTTGTGGGACATTGCTGTGTGCAATTGGCTGCCGCGTTCGCCCACAAATATACAGTCAATTCACTTTACAGTGTGTTCTGTGAAGCGCTTTGGGACGTCCTCCCAAAGTAAAAAGTGCTATATCAAATGCAAGGATTATTAGTATTATTATTATAGTATTATTTCAGAATCAGGCTCAGTTTACTGTGTTTTAAGAGTGACATGTTGTATGGAAATGTCACATTTTTAAGCTATTTTAGTCAGAAACAACTGGTTTAGGGAGTAAGGATTTAAACAGTAGGGATTTAAACCCTGTAGACTACTGCAGTTTGTTATCACCTAAAGATATATTTGGGTTACACAGTACACAAATATGTTACTCAAGGTCCACTATCTGTGAGTTTACTCTCGAACTCAGGGGATGGGAATGCTAGGATATCAGGAGCCATCGATGCCAATACAGGATCCCAGGATTCCTGTGTGGAATCAGTTCTCCCGAAATCCTGGGATTGCAACCCTCAAGTCCAGGCAGCGACTAAGTGGTGCGGTCACCCCAGGGCCTAGGAATATGTGGGGGTCCCAAGCCTTCGGCAGATGAGTGACTTGTGTTTCTCTCGCTCCCTGTTTCGATATGGCTGTTCAACCATGCTTTTGATCACCCCGCTTCCCACCCCACTGCCCTCCACCCTCCCCAATCCCGACCCCCAGCTCTAGTCTGAAACACTGACCGTCCAGCGCCTTGGGACGTCCTCCCGACGTGAAAGGCACCGTGTAAATGTCATTTGTTGTTGTTTTTGATGCTCTTACCCGCTTCCGGAGATGCAGGATTACCAGAGCCAGGAGCACCATGAGGCAGCCGAGAGCGATCAGGATGTACTGAAGGAACTCCAGGATCTTCGGCAAGAGGACCAGGTAGTTATAGAAGGTGTCTAGAGCTGGCCCGTCGATGATACCAGACTGTAAAGGCACAGGTTAAACCCTGCGTGAGTCTCGGTTATACAATTAGCGACAGTTTATACATCGCCTTTCATGCAAGGAGCACATCTCAAAGCACTTCACAGAGTCCGAACAGGGGGTGGAGGAGAGTTGAGAAAGGAACTGGGGGTGTGTGTGGGGGTGGGGTGTAGTAGTAGTAAGCACGCACAGTCACTTTATAACTAAAAGTATTGAAAGAGAATTTTCCTGATCACGGTTGCACTCACCTCTTCAAACCAAAGGAAAGGCAGCAGCAAAGGCCGGATTTTTCCAGTCTCTCTGGGTTTAAAACAAAAAAGGATTTTGATAACATACGTACAACGGATCATCAGTAAATATGGGCTGATGTTACGACAGCCTGGCACAGTCGGTAGCGCTCTTGCCTCCGGGTCAGAAGGTTGTGGGTTCAACTCCCCACTTCAGGACTTTGAGCTCATAGTGTAGGCTGACACTGCAACGCAGTGCTGGGGGTGGGGGTGACAGCCAAGGACAGACAGAATGTACTGAACAGAGACTATAAGGAAGAAGCCAGGAGCTGCTCATGACAGACACGGACTTGCCTGTGGCAATAACATCAGTACCATCCATCCAACTGTCCCTCTGCCTCACCCCCCTCCCTTGCCTCCTTCGAGGCCCGACTCAAGACCTTCCTCTTTGACCGTGCCTTCGATCACGCTTTGAGCTGTACTTACGTGATGCCTTGCACGGATTTTAAGAACAGGTTTAACTGGAGTTTGATGGAGACATTCAGAGGGATACCCGTCAACTGAAAGAGAACGACACGTCAATAAATCAGTTAGTTATCGACATTCTTCAGCGGCTTTCCCTGGTTTTACCAAACCTAACCCCGTGAGGCTGACACCCAGCGCAGGCCCGGCATGTACCAGGAATGAACAGTCAGCATACACCGTAAGTAGGTTGTTCGTCGATTGGCGATCGCTTTCCAGGAGGTAACAATCCCTCCATAACAAAAAAATTGCGTGACTCAATCCACGACTGTCTGTGGGACGCTGCTGTGCGCATTCGGCTGCCGCGTTTCGCCCACAGAATTACACAGTCAATCCACTTTACAGTACATCCTGTGAAGGGCTTTGAGATGTCTCATCGAGGGGATAAGGTCCTATATCAAATGCAATGAGTGTTATTATTATTATTGTCCCCCCCCCCTCCAACAGTGACTCGCAGTCTCTTACTTACGGGGTGGATGTCAATGAAAAGTCCATGTTCTCGCTCATTAGGGGTTAGCCCATGAACAGCCTGCCACAGAACTGGGTCTCCATTGTAGAAATGAGGGTGGGAAACAAAGACTTGAGAATCTAAGAGCGTGAAACACACACATATACACTCGTTTAGCCACAAGCCATAACCCAGCCCAACCCAGCCCGGTGTTGGGCCAACACAAACGATACGATGAAAGAGACAGATACACAAAAACACATCATCGGTCAAATGTATTAATAAAATAAAAAAGCATTATATTTAAAATTGGTTACTCAATCCAATTGGTTACTGTGCCCACAAAATACACACAGTCAATTCACGTTAAAGTGCATCCTGTGAAGTGCTTTGAGACGTATCGAAGATGTGATAAGGAGATATAGCAAATGCAAGGATTATTATTACTGTTATTAAATGTAACTTTAATAACCCCCCTCCCATCCCAAAACTGTGTGAGGGACTTGGTGGCTCGTGTGCTCACTGTGCCGACAGCTGCTGACGTTTAATACCCCTGACTCTCTGCAGGGACAGAAGCCCTCGTTGGGGGGGTAGGTGCTTCCGTTGGCAAACATGGTCTTTGGAGCCACGTAGCGGAAGGACGGGATGTGGGACGTCCAGCCAGACTTCTGGTACACCAGCTCCAAAGTTCTAGTTATGAATAACAACAACATTATGTTTTCATATCTCCCCTCTCCCCTCCTCCCCTCCACAGAAAATCTACAAATCACTGATTCCAACCCACAGTCCCTCCTCCTCGCACCCACCCACCCTCCCTCCCTTGCCTCCTTCAAGGTCCGTCTCAAGATCTTACTCTTCGACTGGGCCTTCGGTCACCCTCCTATCTCAACCCCACCCCCTCCTGATCCCAAGCCTCCAGCTCGGGTGCAAATCCTTGACTGTCCAACATGAAAGGCACTGTGTAAGTGTAATTTGTTGTTGTTGTTATTCCCACCCATGAGCAGCGCTAAATAAATGCAGGTTGTTGTTAACCTATTTGGCACAAGTGGATTCCAGTCAGGCTCTTACCTGCAGGCGTCCGGTGTGTAAAACTTTAGTGTGTCTGAGGGAGTCAGGAACGGTGCCCACATCTCTCCTGCTGTTCCATTAATCATATTACACTGCTCTGTGTTCCAGTAGCTTAGCTGGAACGCAAGAGAAAGGAAGGAATTTGCAATGACTCACAACCAGGGACGTTGGCCATTTCTCTAAAGAGGGTGTGAGCCAGAGGGATGTGGGTTCAAGCCCCATCTCAGAACCTGAGTTCATAAGCTAGATCCGCGTGGTCCAACCTGTTGCTGTCTGGCAAAGCTTTCCTGCTGCTTGTCCAGCTAGGACCACCCCGCCCTAGGGCTTTGGCTTGCAGGGTTAACAGGAGCTGTTTGGAAGAAGGGAGTTTGTTCCTCATCTCTAATTAGTCTCAAGCACGGATTAATCGGTCACATCTCTCATTGCGGTGACTGATCTGCCCTTGTAACACGTCCAAATTTGCCTTAGTGTGTGAAGACTTTTTTTCAGAAAAAAGCCTTATGACTTGTGACTGTGTTTATAATGATGGGGAAGCAAATCAATGGGACACCCTTCATCAGAGGAACTGGTTTCACATTCCCTAATACAGGGCAGACAGATGGCTGCTGATTAGTTGATGTATAAATCAGCCATGATCTAATAGAATGGTGGAACAGGCTCGGGGGGCTGAATGGCCTATTCCTGTTCCTATGTTCTTATGCCCTCCAATCCGTGTGGGAAGATCAGACATACATAGTCTCGAACAATTTTTTTTATATATATAAGCACTGTACCTCTGTAACACCATTCCAGTTATCCACTAGATGAACTTTACTGATATTATCAGCTCCTGTATTAACAGTGAATAAGCCGGTGTTTGAGTTGTTGAACTGGAAAGAGAGGGAAAGGACGGTGAAAGGTAGAATGTTTCTGGTGAGATGGAGATTATCAATCTAAAATACTGTGGTAAATTAGCCACGCAAATTAAGACTGAGAATATATACTTACATCTACAAATAATCCAAATTTCCCTTTGAAAGGGATGATTCCTGGAAATACTCTGTTCAGGAAATCCACAAGGGGATCGTCATAGCCCCATAGTATCTCCTTCACGGACTTCTGAATAAATGACTTCTCGTTGAAGGTCTTCAAAGCAGTGCTAAATATAACTTTTAAAGCGTATGGCAAGTGTTCAACCATCAGTGCTGCGCTCTGGAAACAAAAGACATACAGACAGTATGAGGAAACGCCCTGCACAATCGCAAGCAACAGAAGCAAATTATATTTACACAGAGACTTTCACAACGGGAGGGCGTCCCAAGGCCCTGGACAGTCAAGGATTCGCACATGAGCTGAGGGTTTGGGATCAGGAGGGGCGGAGGTCAGGGAGGGTGGGGGTAGGAGGGTGACCGAAGGCGCGGTCGAGGAGGAAGGTCGAGACGAGAGGGTGAAAAGAGTATCTAGCATCCCTTGCGTCTGCCACACACTGCGATTTATGTTCCTGTCTCATGTTCCTTCATCGCTCATTTTAAGCTGCTACTAATTTAATAGACCCACAGCATAAGCCTGCTATTCTCTTTCAGAATAATTCTCCAAATGAGATTTATGGAGCAATAAATGCTATGTTAAGATAGCTGCAGAATAATGGCAGGATTTATAACCGACTAAGCACATTTGAACTAGTTTTAGACATGAACACCTAAAGCGCTGTGACTATATACAGTATTGTATGTAACAACCGAGTGTATAATTCGCATCATTTAACGGGAACAATACTGTACTGACGTTTACACTGGTCTGGGGGAGCTTTGTTAGTCATTTGTTTGCGATCTAGAGTATTCAGGCCATGTGATTTCACACTATCTTACTCAGCAAAGCGTTATTTTAGGAGCTTTGCTCAGGAGGTCTGCCTAGTCACAGGGAGCGAAAGCCAAAGAAGGTGCTGTAATTGCAACAGGACAGTTCAGGGCACTGAGGCAATTCAATTAAATGTTGTACATCCTCTCACCAGGACATGAGCTACAGGAGTGGCCCTCCTTACAGCACAGCAGACACCCAAGATTGTTGCAACTATTTTTCCTCTAACTTGCTATTAAATATGACTCTCTCTATCTCTCTCCTCTTTTAACAACTCAAGCAAGAGGAATCGGGTTCAATTCCCAGGCGGGGTGAAACCTTAGGCAAGTTTCCTTACTCCACACGTCTCTGAGCTGGAACCCGGTTGTGAGTCGATGGGCGGATTGCTCTCCGGGGGTAATAATCCCTCCAAAAAAAATCCACGATTGTTTGTGGGACACTGCCGTGCGCAATTGGCTGCCGCGTTTCACCCGCAAAATACACAGTCAATTCACTTTACAGTATATCTTCTGAAACGCTTTGAGATGTCTCAATGACTCGATAAGGCACGATATATAATGCAAGGATTATTATTATTATTCACTGTGGTTAGAAGAAACCCACCAGGGCTAGCATGTTGGGCAGGATGAGTTCATCACTCTCATTGCCAACAGAGTGCTCGGGGCTGAAGTGATATTGGCGATATTCACGGTACGAGACAGTGAAGTTGTCATGAAACGTGATGTTGCTTTTCTGCCGGTACTCTCTGTAAATCAGAAACAGCAGTCAGCGCTCTGTCTCACACACACACACACACACACCCAACAAACAGCGTTTGAGAAAGACAAACCAGAAAACTGTAGGACGCAAATTGAGCTGAACTGAACCGAGCCCCATTAAAGTCTAATTTTCTTTTTGAATGCTTCAGTTTAGCAAAGAAAAATCAAGTGCAAGTATTATCCCAGAGCTGAAACTAAGAAGCCGGATAATTTATAACGATGGCAGTTCAGAATGTATTCACTCTCCGAATCCCGGGCTTCCGATTTCTTCCAGTCAGGCCTTGGGTTTAGTTCACTGTGCTCCCAGGCCTTGGGATGTCCTCCCGACGTAAAAGATTCCATACAAATGTAACTTTCTTTGTAATTTTTTAACATAGTACAAACCGCTTTGCTGAGAAGCAATTGATTGCCTGGCGTGTAAAGAGACGTTGAACGGAGAGATTTCCTGGCCCTCGCTCCAGCAGCTTTTAATTTTTGCTGCATTTGCAACTTTGCTGATGTTACTGGCAATAACCCGATTGATTCGCACCAGACAAACTGTGCTCTAGCCTCGAGACGAGATTGAGCTAAACTCACTTCGCCATTGTTATTTGCCTTCGCTTGATTGTGGGTGCTCAGCTGGCACAGGCAACGTTACATCCTGATCAACTGTGGCTCAAGTGTGTGTAATCTGCAATCCAAGCAGCGTATAACTTTCCACCTGATGTTGGAAAGTTCGGCACAGTACTCAATCACATGCCTCGCTGACATTCATGCAAAGGGCATGATTAGATTCACCATTGCTCCTGACGAATGTACACATAATCACGGGAACACATTAAAGTCAAGCATTTGAAATGGATTAAGGGGAACCAAACTGTATCGGGGGTTTTAATTTCACACAGGGAAGCACTAACTGCCTCTTTGAAGCTTTCGCTCGGTTACAAAATCAGCTAACACAATGGTACAGACTGTGGTCACTTGCTGCTGAGCTTTGCTGTGAGTCAGTACCACTCTTTGCAAAGCACACAGGAAAGGTCTAGGACAGTGCTCTCAATAACAAGCTCTCAATGGCAATGCCCATTCTGGTGTCCACCAAGCCTTGGCTCTCATCAACTTACACCTAATAAGTTTCCCGAATGAGGTAAGCAGGATGCATCCATCCAGCGAGAGAACGAGAGAGAGAGAGAGAGTGCACATTCTAGTCCAACAATCTCTAGAATTTCCACGTGTAGCTGGGAATGCCCAGAATTTTCTCTTAGTTTGGTTTGGATACTCTTAAGCGTGGTGATGGGTATTTGGTGATACTGGATCCATTCAAACTTTCAAGACTGAGGTGGATAGATATTTGTTAGTTCAGGGTATCAAAGGATATGGGACAAGGGCAGGTAATTGGAGTTGAGGTAGAGATCAGCCATGATCTAATAGAATGGCGGAATAGGCACGAGGGGCTGAATGGCCTCCTCCTGTTCCTTTGTTCCTATAAGAAATGGATGAGTGATATGAGAGACTGAATAACATAAATACTGTAGTTAATCTACTTTGGGGCAAACACATGTTTTTTTTCCACCAGGCCTCTCATGTTGTTCCTATTGAATTGGATAGAGCAACACAAGTAGAGATAAGCAGCCCTTTAACCTAAACCTCCAGCTGATGTTATATGCATCTCTTGTTTACAATGTACTGCACAATCTACAGTACTGTGGAGTCCTGTAGCTCAAAGGTTAGAGCACTCGCCTTGCAAGTTTCCTTACTCCACACATAATCCCTCAAGAAAAAAAAAAAATTTGTCACTTCAATCCACGACTGTTTGTGGGGACGCTACTGTGTGCAATTGGCTGCTGCATTTCGCCCACAAATGTACAGTCAATTCACTTTACAGTGTGTTCTGTGAAGCGCTTTGGGACGTCCTCCCGACGTGAAAAGCACTACATCAAATGCAAGGAATATTATTATTATTGTATTATTTCAGAATCAGGCTCAATTTACTGTGTTTTAAGAGTGACATGTTGCATGGAAATGTCACATTTTTAAGCTATTTTAGTCAGAAACAACTGGTTTAGGGAGTAAGGATTTAAACAGTAGGGATTTAAACCCTGTAGACTACTGCAGTTTGTTATCACCTAAAGATATATTTGGGTTACACAGTACACAAATATGTTACTCAAGGTCCACTATCTGTGAGTTTACTCTCGAACTCAGGGGATGGGAATGCTAGGATATCAGGAGCCATCGATGCCAATACAGGATCCCAGGATTCCTGTGTGGAATCAGTTCTCCCGAAATCCTGGGATTGCAACCCTCAAGTCCAGGCAGCGACTAAGTGGTGCGGTCACCCCAGGGCCTAGGAATATGTGGGGGTCCCAAGCCTTCGGCAGATGAGTGACTTGTGTTTCTCTCGCTCCCTGTTTCGATATGGCTGTTCAACCGTGCTTTCGATCACCCCGCTTCCCACCCCGCTGCCCTCCACCCTCCCCAATCCCGACCCCCAGCTCTAGTCTGAAACACTGACCGTCCAGCGCCTTGGGACGTCCTCCCGACGTGAAAGGCGCCGTGTAAATGTCAATTCACTTTACAGTATATTCTGTAAAGCGTTTTGAGACGTCTCGAAGACGTGAAAAAGCGTTTTATCAAATGCAAGGATCATTATTTATTTTATATTACTCACCTCCATATTGTTAACATGAGATACCCGCTGAGGCACACGTACCTGTAAACGTAAGGTCCCCGCTGACTAAGAACTGCCTTTTCTCCACTTAGAAATTCCGTGGGATTCTTAACCTCAAAGAAGTAGACAGACATGTAGAAGGGCACAGGGATATCCCGCCACATGGTATAAGCCAGGCCACTGCTGGGGTCAATCTGAACTTTCTGCACACGGGAACAACAACAACAAATTACACTTGTATAGTACCTTTCATCTCGGGAGGACATCCCAAGGCGCTGAAAGAGAGACAGTGTCTGTAAACACCCTTCACATAAAGACTGAATCCAAATGAAATAACATTAAATTAAAAAAATGTAAAAATGTTAGTTCTGTTCTGTAGAATCACTATGAAGAAGAACTTGTAATTTTTAGAATAATGTTGAAATGTCACAGAACACTGTCGCCTGCAGTGACCTATTTTTATAGGCAATTGCAATCAGCCCACCCTGACTCATTGCTCTAGCCCTTTCCTCACTTAATCTAAGCTGTTAACATTTTTATAAAAAAAATTACTTGTACAATGTAGCACGCTGTGTCTGAATGTCTTATGAGCTGCAAATCTGATCCACATTAACACACTGTCTGGATAGAGAACCTGCCTTTATATCTTTGAAGTAGTGTACAATCGACCCTTTGTGCGATGTTGCAATGCATGTAGATCATTTATATCTAAAAAGAGTCCCATGACAAGTTACAAGTGTGTTAGAGGAAGTACGTTGGTGAGACAGTGTCCTGTAATACAATTGTAGAGCTCCTGTGATGTGAAGCTTTGCCCCATCCTCAGAAAACCTGATGTTCTAACATTGACCTATGTTTAACTACAGATACATATTTAACGACATAACTTCCAACACGATTGTTATAACAACAACAACAAGATTACACTTGTATAGTGCCTTTCACGTTGGTGTATGTTATTATAATAACTTGGTTTCATAACCACAAATCTTCACTCTCAGTTGGATCCCTTTTATATCTCCCCTGGATAATCTGACTCGTTCCACAATGGAATTTTATTGGCACATCAATGCTTTCTTTCAAAGCACAATGGAAGCATACAAACATGTCATTGGATTACAGTTGTCTAGCCAGTTTACCTGAAAGAATTCAGATCGTTGGTCCTTGAACCTTTGAGCACTGTGAAATTCTTATCTCATAACTCAAAAGAAAACTGCACGTATGTCACATCTTTCAATTAAAATCTATCAAGGCACTGGAAAACGAGCATGGAAATATGAGATTTAAAGGTGTCAAAGGTGTGTGTTTTTAGGATGGACAGAAGCTTCAAAGTTTCGCCCTCAAAATACACAGTCAATCCACTTTACAATATATTCGCTTTGAAGACTTATCAAATGCAAGGATTATTATTATTATTATTATAAAGTGGCTCCGAAATGTTTGAGGATGGGTTAACCAAGGCTGAAAGCTTGTCCCCCAATGGTGGTGCAAATGGAGCGAGGAGCAAGCAAAATCCAGAGCCAGAAGAGTAGAGAGGATGGGTGAAATATAGAGATTCCATAATAGGTTAGGGGCAAGACCATAGAGGGATGTAGTGATCAGAACAAAGATCTTAAACTCAATCCTCGTTCATACTGAGAATCAATGAAGATTAGAGCACATGGGGTGTGGGTGGGGGAATAGTAATTGTATGAAGCTTTATGCAGGGGAGAACTTCTATACAAGTTCCAGTTAAAGAGAAAAAAAGAACTTCTGTTTCTTTCATAAATCAGAACAAGTTTTCCTACTTGGCTTGGAGAGAATTCAGCGGAAGCCTAGATTTCATATCTCCTAGTTCATTGCCAAACCATCAACCCTCGTGAAACATTCTTTTCCCACTTCCTCAATCCATATCAAATGCCAACTAAGAGCAATGCTCTCCACAAGCTGCATAGATAGATACTCTCTAATCCCCAATATATTACAGCAAAACCTGGAGTCTATTCCTCCATTTGCCACTGCGACCAACTCTTCAATGCTAAACCCTGGTCTCCTTTCCTCCATACACCTCCACCCCCAATACTCCAACTTCACAGAAATGAGACTGTGAAGGGATTTAAAGATTTGAGGGGATTTAATTGAGGATCTTGGGAGTTGACCTGCTGGAATAGTGGAGCCAATGGATCCCAATGGTGAGGGCAGGGGAAACATCACCCCCAAAACAGTCACATGTTCTACAAGATAAATCATCCTATAAATCTTCTACATGTCAGAGTGCTCCACAGAGCCAAATACCCATGGTGTGGGTATAATGATTAATAACAGCAATAGATACAGCATGATAGTGAACAAAGAAGCTCTGATCAAATCACTGATGACTGCACTACTGGCCCTGACATGAAACAGTCAGACCCTGGAGGAACGTCTCATGAAGAAAAAAACCTGCTCCTATTTAGCTGATGTTGTTGGTTGTCATTCAGCTGGCGGCAGTTTATGATGATGTTTCTGAGCAAGTACTTTAGTAGTGAGCTGGAGTCAAGAGGGTTGGTAGTATGGGAAAATTAAAGGCGTGACCGAAAAGGAAGGTGCTGACAGATACTTTAGGGCTTCAACCTAGAGAGGGGATCTTATAGTAATGCATGAAGTACTGACGAGGGTTGAAAAAATAAACCCAGTACAATACTCTCAAATACACCCAGGACATGAGGGCATGGGCTCAGGGGATGTGAAGGGCAAGTTTAGGACAGACATGGAGGGTGGTGGGGGGGGGGTGCATTTTTTTTGACACACACTTGACATGTAATCAACTGATGGGAACAGGTTACCAGAAATGGTGGGTTTGAGTCAGGACACTGGAACTCAACACAAAACAGCTCAATGCTGGAATAGGAAGCTAGTGGGGGGCGCGGGGGATTCTGTACGAACGAGACATTTACCCCTTCCTTTGGATTCAATCGCAGGACAGCGACACACCCAAAGGATTACTGGCACATCCCTAAGCTAATGAAGGGCGTACTTACGTAGGCTTATGGGCAGAGAGAATGAGATGTCTCAGCTCTGGTTAGAAACTTCCCCGCTTGATAATAATAATAATAATAATCCTTCCACTTGATACAGCGCTTTTCACGTCTTCCAGACGTCTCAAAGCGCTTCACAGAATATACCGTAAAGTGAATTGACCGTATACTTGCGGGCGAAACGCGGCAGCCAATTGCGCACAGAGGGTCCGCAGCTTAATCTTGTTCTAAAAGCGAAGCTAAGGTGTGTGTGTGTGTGTGGGGAGGGGTGTTATTTACAGGCTACAATTACACATTAACATTTAATCAAACAATTCAAATGAAATGAAAATTGGGCCAAACAGCGACAACAACAACAACAAACAAACAAACAAACAAACAAACAAGTGTTTCAAATAAAGTCTGCTCATCAGGAAGTGAGCCTTTTGCTGAGCTCACTCAGCAGTTTTACGAGACGCAAAACGAAGGAGAGATTCTAATCCACAGGAAAACTCGCAGCAGCTTCCACACAGGAAACTTCACTGGGATTCAGATGTCCACTCACCTGCGGCCCAAAGCGGATTGTACAGCACCAGCACCAGATCAGCGGAGCAGCACCACCCCCCCCCACCCCCTCTACACACACACACAGGACCCCCACCCCACCCCTCTACACACATACAGGACCCCCCCACCCCCTCTACACACACACACAGGACCCCCCCCACCCCTCTACACACACACAGGACCCCCCAACCCTCTCCACACACACACAGGACCCCCACCCCCACCCCCTCTACACACACACACAGGACCCCCCCCCACCCCCTCTACACACACACACAGGACCCCCACCTCCACCCCCTCTACACACACACACAGGACCCCCACCCCACCCCCTCTACACACACACACAGGACCCCCCACCCCCTCTACACACACACACAGGAACCCCACCCCCACCCCCTCTACACACACACACAGGAACCCCCACCCCCACCCCCTCTACACACACACACAGGACCCCCTCTACACACACACACAGGACCCCCCACCTCCACCCCCTCTACACACACAAAGACCCCCTCTACACACACACACAGGACCCCCCCACCCCCTCTACACACACACACAAGACCCCCCCTCTACAAACACACACACAGGACCCCCCTCTACACACACACACAGACCCCCCCCCCCCCCACACACAGCACAGCGCAACGTTTTCAGACCCCTTCCGATGGGGGGGGGGTCGATGATGCCCCCCAACCCCCAAACCCCCCCCCAAAACCCGTTGCAACTCACCTGCGCAACTTGCTGCTGGATCCTACCGGGGGTGACACACGCCAGAAGGATGCCGGAGGCCGCCAGCAAGGCCCCCCCCACCCCCAGGACCACCGGGGCTTTGCTTCGCGGGACCTTCATTGAAGCAGAGAGGGAGGGAGAGAGGGAGAGAGAGAGGGAGAGAGAGAGAGAGTGTGAGAGAGAGAGAGAGTGACCAAACCAAACCCAACGCGATGATTTGGATTGCAGAGCAGAGTGGTGCTACACCCCCCCACCCCCCCCCACCAAAGGCTGGGTGCAGAGTGACCTGAGGCAGCATTGCCAGCCCTGACATTGCCCCCCCCCCCCCCCCCAGCAGCTGGCCCGGCGGCCCCGCCCCGCCCCGCCCTCTGGGGCCTGTAGTTCTCCTCGACCGCCTCCCCCACGCCACCCCTCCAGCCCACCGCAGCCACCTGCCTACAACTCCCATGCTGCCCCGCGCTCGCCCCGACCAGCCTGGAAGGGGCGGGTCAAGTCAACAACAACCACAACCACCACCACAACAACGACGACGACAACAACAAGATGACTTGTGCAGCAGCGCCTTGCGGGTCGATGGGGGGGCGTCCCAAGGCGCTGGGCAGAGTGCAGCATTTCAGACCCGACGCTGGGGTGGTCGGTCAGCGGGATTGGCAAAATTGCTGCTTGCGTCCAAACCCATCCACCATCCCAAGGCAGCAGGCGGATTGACGGCGCTCTCCGCCTCACCCCGTTGAAACGGTCCCCAATTGCAAACGTTCCGGCTAATTGCAACCGCCTGAACATCCCTTGCGAAGGACGCTTCGGGCAACTGTCATGATACGCAACCATCAGTCTGTCACAAAGCGGTTCAAGGCGTTGAAGAGAATAGGTCAATTGAATTGGGTGTCTCACTCTGTATGTATGTGTGTGTGTGTGTGTGTGTGTGTGTGTGTGTGTGTGGGGCGGTGGGATAGAGAGAGTGTAGGGGCTCCTCCATACCGGACGTACAAACATTTCTGTACACATGGGATGTGGAACTCTCCCACAAATATTCGCCCACAAATATACAGTCAATTCACTTTACAGTGTGTTCTGTGAAGCGCTTTGGGACGTCCTCCCGACGTGAAAAGCGCTATATCAAATGCAAGGATTATTAAGGATTATTATTATTAACTCTCAGTAGTTTAGTTCGGATACTCTTAAGCTTGGCAAGAAGCTTCCATGGGTGTCTGACACCCAGTTGATCAAAACAAAGATTTGCCTATGGCGGTGTGCAGCAGCGGCATTGCTTTGCATTTCTACCGTGCCTTTCAGGTAGGGGAAAATATTGAAATGGTTCAGAGACAGCGGTGGATCAAGGTGGAAAGGTGACCAAAGGCATAGTTGAAGAGGTTTAGTTGGATTTTTGAAGACAGGGAGAGAAGACGGTGTGAGGGTGGAGGGAATTCCAGAATGCAGCAACTGAAAACTGGGACGTAAATGGGGGCAATGGACGTGTAAGCAAGCACATTAATACACTCAGACATAGACAAGAAAGTGTAAATAAGAATTTAAATTCAGTTTGGAAAGTCTCCAATCTCCAACAGATGTATTATAATAATAAATAATAATAACCTTTGCATTTGATAAAGCACTTTTCACGTTGTCCAGATGTCTCGAAGCCCGTCTTTCTCTTTGGCACTGGTCAATCAAAAATGTGCACCCGAGGGATTACGAGGGATGGAGGGTAGGGAGGGTGGGTTACCTCTTCAAGAGCATCAATGCAGTTGTACAACCCTTTCTAATGCAGAACGTAGCAAAGGAGAGAATGTAGCAAGAAAGTATAAAAGTCCACTTTTATGTGTAGCAAAGTTACTGAAGTTTAAATACATTCTTTGAATAGTGAACAGACAAATTCACGTGCTCTCAAATCGTAATTTGACCACCTTTCAAGGTTCATATTTAGTTTAAACCTACAATAAGCTGGAAATTGCTTCACAAAGCACTGTTTAAATGATCGGAAATTTACCATTCAAGATGACGTACTAATGTAACACAATCTATTTATTCTCTTGGGAATGACACTGCCTTAGGGCACCTACATAAAAAAACAGTTGTCCTCTTAAAATGCATGAAAATAGCAAATGCGTTTCACGCCATAAACATTCATCTGACATCTGGCAGTAAATCTAATTTCTAGTTACAGTATATACTAGTTTGTGTGTATAGTTTCCCAGGACTTAGATGGGGTGGTGAGGGTGAGTAGGCAATATGTCCTTGTTCTAAAGTGACAAACACTATCTGTGTGTGCTCAGGGACTAAAAATACTTTTACAAGGTAATTTTAGTGGGAATAAGGTTACCTTATTTTGACTACTTTTATTGCAATGTTTGTAAGTCTCTGGCAGAATGCTACAACACAACAGAATGGTTTTCTCTACAATAGTATACTGTACACTATCTTCAATGTTCATGTACAAATAATTTTGCATCAGGTGACAGTACAAGAATTTGAATTTATATGGCACCTTTCACGCAGGGTAGCGTCCCGGAGTGCTTGACAGTATGGGAGTCTGACCCCGGGAGAGGGGGAGATGACCTTAATCACGATCAAAAATAAAGGTCTTTAGGTGAGATTTAAAAGAGAGATTGAGGGAGAGAGAGTTCCAGAGTTTTGGAGCGTAGTAGCTGAAGGGCACAGCTACTGATGGTAGAGTGGAAGGGATGAGGGACAAACAGGAGGCTGGAGCCAGCCGAGCGGAGGCAGTGGGTGGTTCGAGTCGGGGTGAAACAAATTGAATAGGTAGGGAGGTGCGAAATGACGAAGGAGTGGATGAGGATTTCGCCTGCTTTGGTTGTGAGGTACCAGCTTGACCGAGTGTCCCAATTATGTCTGGCTGCTTAAATGCTCTTACAAATCTGCCCACTTATGATCTGCAATTAAGTCCACAGCTGACAATACCTCTCTTCTGCCTCATGATGGTACTCCTCTTTCAATCATCTGTTGCTTCGCCGTTTCCAACTCACGCACTTTGGTATCAGCGCTTTGGGTCGTCCTCCCGATGTGAAAGACGCTATACAAACGTAATTTGTTGTTGTTCCACTTACTGCCGACTCCGCTCTTATTCTGCAGTTAACTCTTTGTCTGCCATTGTACTCATAGTACTGCCTCTTTGGGCTCTAATAATCCAATTTAAAGAATATTCCAATATTCAAGTCAACCTTAAATAAAAGGGAGCAGTTGCGTTTGCAGCACAGATTAGCAGATCTCTGAAAAGAATGGGTTCTGATTATGGATCTGAAATGCTTTGCTTTAAGTGTATAAATGCTAAATCAGAATAGAGTCCACCCTCTGTGGCTGTCTTGGCAGTCCAATTCCTGAGCAAGGTGGGTACACAATACTCCAGGGCACCGCTGATGACAGCCTAGCCAGCCTGGATCATCAGCAGGACTTGGAAGACCAGACCAGTCAATGGGACTAGGGACACTTCCTTCAAAAGGGTAGGGTCATCCTAGCTGGACAAGCAGCAGGAAAGCTTACTTCAATGGCAAGCTATGTGGTTTTAACTGGTTAGACTCCAGCAGTTACTCCAAAGAACACTACAGGGACCCCAAGGCTCATCTCTCGCCCACCTGCACTTTCTCATATGAAATTAGGTAAGCAGGATGCGTCCCTCCAGGGAGAAGTCATTCCATTCGATGTATAGGTGGGATGCATGAAACTATTTGGTTTGGATTCTCTTAAGCATTGTGATGGGTTTCCACACGTGTCAAGACACCCAGCTGACCCAATAAACACCATTGAAGTTGCTTCAGCCTCCACTGGCTGGAGCCACAAGGTTACCATTCACAGGCCTGCAGAGCATACCTGGCTCAATCTGTTCCAGAGCAACTCTTACATTGAATCATTTGTGAATTTAAGACTGGATTCACAAACATGACACCCATTTTGGACACAAGCCAGGAAAACCCAATGCCCACCATTCAGATTTAGTATCCACTGCTGTCCTGACAGAATATCTGTCAGACATCAAGTCCGGGATGAGAGCTAACTTGCTTCAGTTGAACGTGAAGAAGACCGAGGCTCTCCTGATTGTCTCCTGTCAGCACCTCCACGCAGCATCACCATCCAAGGATGCACATTCCACCTCACTGAGCCATTTTGAAACCTTGGTGTCTTGTTTGACCCTCAATTATCCTTTCTACCCCATATCTGTGCCATGACCCGCTCTGCCTTCCCCCACCTCCGCAACATTGCCCGGCTTCGCCACTGTCTCACACTACAGGCCGCCAAAACCCTCATACATGGCATTCATAACATCCAGGCTCGGCTACACACACTCCCTCCTTGTCAGCCTCAACTCTTCCCTTCATAGGCTGCAGATCATCCAGAACTCTGCCCGACTGCACTGCTTTCCCATCACAGAGGATACATAATTCAAAATCCTGGTCCTCACCTTCAAAGTCTTCCATCCATGGCCTTCAGCCCTGGTACCCGTGCAACCTCATACAACCCCTACCAACCTGGCCGCTCCCTCCACTCAGCAGGGTCCAGCCTGTTTCATGTCCTCCACCTTGCCCCACCACTGGCAGACAGGCCTTCAGCCACTCTGCCCCTATCCTTTGGAACTCCCATCATGGACTCCCTCTGCCTCACCCCTTCCCTCCTTAGACTCCCCTCTTCCACGATGCCTTTGATCACCCCCTTCCCCATCTTAGGTCCAAATCACTGATCCTTGAGATAGGCTCCTGACATGAGAAGTGTTATACAACTGTAATTTTATTGTTGTGAAAGGGGCTCATGTTAATGCTGATTTATATTTTACCAGATTATTGTGGTCAAGAGTTGGAATAGAAACTGCATTTCCAATATTGAGGAATACTCCCTCCACCAATACTGCATCACCATTTACAATAAAGGAGACTCTTCCAGCAACTCTCATCAATCTATACCATAGTATTGTGAAATCTCAGTACTAGTTGACTGGCACTCATTTATTTTAGTGGAATTATGCAGTAGGAACCCAGTTAGTCGATTAGATCACTTTCCAGCAGTAATAATCCCTCCCAGAATAGTAAATAATAATTTGGGAGACAGTTTGGGGAACATTGCCATGCACAATTGGCTGGCACATTTTATCCACAATATATAGTCAATTTACTTTACAGTACATTCTGTGAAGTGCTTTTAAGACATCAAAGACATGATAAGGCACTGTATCAAATGCAAGGATTATTATTAACCTCCTGCATCAACTCAGAATCATCTCAAATTGCAATCCCCCACCATAAAGACCAAACAGACAATATTTAATAAGCTTGCAACAAACAATTTTATTTTGAATGACAAAAGGGAACACACTTTAATGAATTTTTGCTTAAGAGTGCAGAACACAGCCCATCACATGGTGTAAAGTGCCACAATAGCCAGTTTAACAATTGCCCCCTCTCAGACGCAGCACCAAGTGCAGTGTGGACTCTTTCTGAATGTTGTAGTCAGACAGTGTGCGACCATCCTCCAGCTGCTTGCCAGCAAAGATCAGACGCTGCTGGTCGGGGGGAATGCCTTCTTTGTCCTGGATTTTGGCCTTCACGTTCTCAATGGTGTCACTGGGCTCTACCTCAAGTGTGATGGTCTTGCCGGTCAGGGTCTTCACAAAGATCTGCATACCCCCTCTGAGACGCAGGACCAGATGCAGAGTGGATTCTTTCTGGATGTTATAGTCTGATAGGGTACGGCCATCTTCCAGCTGCTTGCCGGCAAAGATCAGACGCTGTTGATCGGGCGGGATACCCTCTTTGTCCTGGATCTTAGCCTTGACATTTTCAATGGTGTCACTGGGTTCCACTTCCAGTGTGATGGTCTTGCCAGTCAGGGTTTTGACAAAGATCTGCATGCCGCCTCTCAGACGCAACACCAAGTGCAGTGTGGATTCCTTCTGGATGTTGTAGTCAGACAGTGTGCGACCATCTTCAAGCTGCTTGCCAGCAAAAATCAGACGCTGCTGATCTGGGGGAATGCCTTCCTTGTCCTGGATTTTGGCCTTCACGTTTTCAATGGTGTCACTGGGTTCAACCTCCAATGTGATGGTCTTGCCAGTCAAGGTCTTGACAAAAATCTGCATGCCTCCTCTCAGACGCAGCACCAGATGGAGAGTAGATTCTTTCTGGATGTTGTAGTCTGACAGTGTGCGGCCATCCTCTAGCTGTTTACCAGCAAAGATCAGACGCTGCTGGTCGGGTGGAATGCCTTCTTTGTCCTGGATCTTAGCCTTGACATTCTCAATGGTGTCACTGGGTTCCACTTCCAGTGTGATGGTCTTGCCGGTCAAGGTCTTGACAAAGATCTGCATGCCTCCTCTGAGACGCAGCACCAAATGGAGAGTGGACTCTTTCTGGATGTTGTAGTCTGAAAGTGTGCGGCCATCTTCTAGCTGCTTGCCAGCGAAGATCAGGCGCTGTTGATCTGGTGGGATACCCTCCTTGTCCTGGATTTTGGCCTTCACATTCTCAATGGTGTCACTGGGTTCTACCTCAAGTGTGATGGTTTTGCCAGTCAGGGTCTTCACAAAGATCTGCATACCCCCTCTCAGACGCAGCACCAGATGAAGAGTGGACTCTTTCTGGATATTGTAGTCTGACAGTGTGCGGCCTTCTTCCAGCTGTTTGCCAGCGAAGATCAGACGCTGTTGGTCGGGTGGAATGCCTTCTTTGTCCTGGATCTTAGCCTTGACATTTTCAATGGTGTCACTGGGTTCCACCTCCAGTGTAATAGTCTTGCCAGTCAGGGTTTTCACAAAAATCTGCATTTTGTTTTTCTGAAAGGCAATTTTTTAAGAAAAAATGCTGTTTGTAGTAATACAACCACACACACACACAATGAGAAAACACCTCAAAGAGCATTCCACAAGGACTCATGAATAACAATGGCTTGGAGTGTTCCGGTCACCAAAACATGAGCCATCATGGAAAAAAAAAACGAGAGTAAGGTTTAGGGGCTCAACCCAACAACCCTGGTAATAAGTAACCTGTTTGGTGCAGGATTAAAGCTGATCCAGAGCAAGCCTTTAAACCTAGACTTCCTGCTTGACGCCCTCTGCCCCACCTTATGAACGCGACTGTATGTAGCGAAGATGCTGTCTTTCTTAATAAAAAAACGGCGACTCACCGACTCTACCTAGAGATGAAAGCGCGTTGAGCCGGGCTCCCCCGCCGCCGCAAACAGGAAGCGGCCAACATGCGCGGCGGGTCAACAAAGCGGCGGCCTCTATGCGCTCACTCGCCCTCGTCACGTGGCGGGGGCGTGTAAGCTCACGTGACGCCCCCCCCCCTGACGACACCGCCGCCCAGGGTCAGGGGTCACGGCAGCTTCCGCCCGCTCGTCCGCCCCGAAGCAGCTGCGCCACCGCCGCCATTTTGAGTCCTCTCCCGATTCCCGGTTTAAAATCGGGTCTTACACCGACTGCCAACCGCCGCTCCGCGTTACCCACTCGACTCCTTGATCGGTTTTACATACAACAAAACGCGTATTTATTCACGCTCTTAGGGGGAAAAAAAAGCCGCGGCCGTCCGTCAAACCCGGTTACGGTCACTCTCGCTTATTTATTTTTGACGCTCTCTTACGGCATAAGGAACTAAAAGTTTTTTCAAAAAAAGTATTAAAAGTAAGCTCTACGCCCACCGTCCGCAGTAAACAGAAAACTGGCGGCATTGTAAATTCGCTTCTGAGGCCCGACCAACGTCAGTTTTTTTTACCTCAGTTTTCTTTTTTTGCCGCCCCCCCCCGAGAGAGGAAAAAAAAGCCGCTCGCCCGCCTCCCCGATGGCAGATAATGATTAAAGGGCGCGTTTTCCTTTCTCTTAAAGCGCTTTCGGGTATCACCGCGACCGTACCTTCAGGAGGACGTTTGCCGCAATGTAGTAATATTGTTGCCGATACTCGTACCGTTCACACTCCGCTTCGGCTCCAATCCCACGAATGGGCGCGACGGCGCTCGCCGCTTCTTTTATAGTCCGTCGACAGCCCGTGCGCTCACACTCCGCGCCCAGCACTACTTGCAGCGCGCACTACAACCCGCAGTTTGGCGGCGGGTGGGGTAACAAAACCACCCCACCCCTCAAAAAAAAAATCACTTGGGTGGTGAGGAGAATGGCACGAATCGTCCTCCTTCACCCCGTTCCCCCCACCCCCCTCAAGTCAGCGGTTTTTTTGTTGTTGTTGTTATTTTTGTTTTGCTGCGCGTTGACACAAAGGCGCAGACGCGCAGCGGCGCGCCGGTGGTGGGGGGGGTGTGATGAGGCGGTATGTTCTAGAAGGGCGGAGACGGCGGGCGGGCGGGACGCGGTGAGTCAGTGAAGCTCGTGCACCAGCCACGTCCTCGCGGGGCCCAGCGAGCGCCTGAGGCACTTTCTATCCCGCAACCCCGGGATTATTTCAATTAATTATTCAACTGAGCGGGGTTTACAGGCTCTGTGCCGAGGAGTTTGGGGGGGGGACGGGGGACAGAGACGGGCGTATGGGGAAGAGGTGGTGGTGGTGGGGGGGGAACCAGGATGGGAGAGGAGGGCCGCATTATCTGAGACTGCCTCCCATCTGATGAGACGTTAATAAAACATCACAATGTTTTGGTCTCTCAATCCCCGGCTGTTTGTGAGCCGCTGCCGTGCGCCATTGGCTCCTGGGTTTCTCCCACAAGAAAAGATAATAATCCCTCCAAAAACCCCAAAACAATAAAAAAAATTGGTCATTTTCAATCCACGACTGTCTGCGGGACATTGCTGTGCGCAATTGGCCGCCGCGTTCGCCCACAGATATGCAGTCAATTCACTTTGCAGTGTGTTCTGTGAAGCGCTTTGGGACGACCTCCCGACGTGAAAAGCGCTATATCAAATGCGAGGATTATTATTATTATTATTAAGATACGCAGTCAATCCACTCTACAGTATAGCCCGGGAAGCGCTTTGCGAGACGTCTCGACGCCCTGATAAGGCACTGTTGGCAAAATGGCAAAGTGGCAAGGATTATTTATTGTTATAAGAAATGATCTTCGAAGGGGTGGGGTGGGTGGGGGGGGAAACACGGGTTTAAAAATTAAACATTTAAAAAAAAAGAAACGCCTGCCCAAACCTGTTTCTTCGCGCACACTACCGTAAAAACATTTCCAATCCGGCAACGTTGTCCATCCCACCACTGTAGGGTACATCTCTGGACCACAGTCTTAAGATCCCTTTCCCCGCTCTCGTACCAAATCCCAGAATCATTCCCGAGGTGAAGGAGAACCCCCAAATATCTTCACCAAGTTTGTCTACTTTGAGGGAATTAAAATGGATATTTCCTGTAAAGCAACCCAATACAACAATAACAACAGGATTCCATTTATAGAGCGCCTTTCACGTCGGGAGGACGCTGGACAAGGCGCTGGACAGTTGGGTCAGGACCCGAGCATTGGGGGAAATGGTCAGGGTGAGGGAAGGGAGAGAGCGAGGAGGGGGTAGAGAGTCGAGAGGGGAGCTGAAGGCTCGGTCAAAGAGAAAGGTCTTCAGACCGGCCTTGAAGGAGGAAAGGGAGGAAGCGGCGAAGGCACTGGGGGATGGAGTTCCAGAGCCGAGGGGCTGAGAGGCTGAAGGCCCGGCCACCGATGGTAGGGCGGTTGGGGCGGGGGATGTGGAGCAGACCGGAGCCAGAGGAACGGAGAACTCTTGTACTGAGAACTCTTAAATTAGTAACTTCACACTGGGTAAGGCAATATGAACCTTTTGCTTTCACCCTCTTGTATCTGAGATAGAGGCTGATTTCTCCAGAATTAATGTCATCATTGCCGACTAGAATTTTTAAAAAAAAACATGTGATATTTGAACAGACTGATTGTGTAACCATCAAATCAGTTTATGTGTACAGGATGCAGCACTTTGGAGCCAAGTTGCAAGAATAGCAGCTCTGCTTTTTATTGCCTTTTTAAACAAAATAATTATCTATAGGTAGAATACATATTTACACCCTGCATCAAAAAGTGCCTGTTCACAGAAAGGAGAAACCGCAACACATTAATATTCCATTACAGTACGCAACAGACCCAATTGAGAGACTAAAAGTGTCCCGCATCGGGGTTCTGCTGCCCTAGTTTACAAGACGATGTCGTGTGAGTTTCAAGTGGTCTGGGTGGATCTCCAGATTTCAGTGTAATAAGGAACTGATTGGTATGCAGATGCAGATAAGAGGCGTCATGTTTAGGCATGTTTTCCCTTGACAATATCCTCATTCTTTGCTGTTACTAAACCCAAGCTGTTGCCAGGAAAAACACAGAACCACTGACTGTTTGTTTCTCTCTTTGCACCCCCACCCCCCGGCCCTGGAACAATGAGATCTGTTATTAATGAAGGTTCTCAATGCAAACCTCAGCAACAGCACTTGGATTGGATAGGGGAGCCAACCAATTGCCATTTTCTGTTCACAGTGCATGTCCTGACACAGATAGGTTGTGCCCTGGGCTGCTGTGACAAAACTTGGAGCAGCGTCATTAAAAAGGAAAAAGCTACATTTTTTTCCCCATCTGCCATTTTAGTTAATCTGCAAGAACCTTCCCGGCAGTGGGCTATTCTCACAACCACTTTTTAGCAGCTTAACACGTGTGTGCGAAATAAAATTGTTTTCCAGTGGTTTAACCTTCAAAATATTGTATGCCTCTGAATTATAATTGAAAGCTGCTGCTAAAACATATGAACCTAATCCACCATTTTAGGTTTCTCAAGCCAGTTTTAAATCCGCTGATCCTTTTGTCTTTTGTAATCGTGTTGAAACTCAGATGGCGGAGGCAGATTATTAATTTTAGTGTTGGTCCCCAGATGATGAATTAACTACAGCTTCTTCTCTGACTGCTGTTTCTGGGCTTTCCGGTGCAATCATTTTTGCATCTGATTTCTGGTTTGTTTATTGCTGCGTCTAGAGTTGTGGTTTTGATTTAGTTTGTAAGGTTAATGACAAAGTCTGACCGTCTGATTTTTTTTAAGTCACAACAGTTTGCCATCTAGAGCACTTATGAATATCTCAAAATACATTGTGGAGATAATCGGGAGCAGACAAGAGAGGAAGGAGAATTCAAAGATGTTGAAAGCACAGAGAAAAGGTGGCGCAGGGATTTTACAGTGCCAGAATGACTGAACTATGTCTGTCTAATAGTTGTTATTGAGAACATTGATGTAAAAGTGAAAGGAATGGCTGCTCAGCTAGTTTATCCGTTCATAGCTGGGCCGAACGGAATGTATCATGAGCGATCTCCACTTTCTGCTGAGTCACCTGACGGGCGGAGGGAGCAACCATTTCTGATCCTTCGCACCAACAGGCACAGAAGGCACGCAGACACACAGTGGGGGGTAAAAACATACCATTCATACTCGAGGCCAGCATTTTGCTTTTCAGATTTCTTGCCCAGAAGATTGTGGGTTCAAGCCCCACGTTCAACCCTTGAGTCTCGCAGTCTAGGCTGACACTCCGATGTAGCTGGAGGGCTGGAGGTGCCGTGCTTCGGATGCAAGCGCCATGGTCCCGTCTGCTTGTTCAGGTGGATGCTAAGAATCCAATAATATAATTCAAAAAGAGATGGGAGTTTCTCCCCATTTTCTGGCCAACAATCCCCCAGGTGAAATTGGTCAATCATTTCATGGCTGTTTGTGGGTTAATGCTGTCATTAAATACACAATCACTACACTTTGTGGAATGAATAACACAGTTTTCTCAAACGCCCGGGGAATATATGGGGAACCCCTATCGTATCACTGCAGTTTCATATACATCAGGGGAATAAGGGGGTGATTTCTGCTTTGATGGAGGAATTACTGTAAAAGAATTACCTAAACTAAAGTAGGCCAGTGAACATTTACAGTTTGATGCTCACAAAAAAATGTTCTCTGGTCAATTATTGATCATTTGTTGGGATACAAAAGCCTTTTAGCTAAAGGCAGCCATGGCAACGGCTTTTTGGATTGGAAGGTAAATATTTGGCTGCCGGGCTATTAGTCAGAAATGCAGTGGAGTCATACTGATGTAATCTGAACCTTTTAACTCTTAAACAACAATAAGCAGAGGAATTAAAACTTTAGACCAGGTTTAATAAAAATGCCACCAAGAAGGACTCGGTGGTCTGTCTATACTCTAGTTATACTGGAATATACTGTGTTTGTGACCAGACTATTTCACGGCTGGGCAGTTTGGTTCAAGTCCTGCCTAGGTAAAAAAAGTGTTAATCAGTAGGCCAAGATACTGTCCGATGTTCAGGGTGAGTTGGCAGTTTCTTATAGGGCATATGAAATCCGAGCTTTAAACCCTTCAACCCTTTAATCTAGATGTCCTGGTGAAAGAAAGTCAGAGCAATTAAATAATTTGACCTTTGTCATGCCATTGCCAACAGGAAGAATTTAATATTTCCTGTAAACTAGTCACGTTGGAAGCTTGTGATTATGATCAGGCTCTAACTCGGGGCTGTAGAATTTGGCTCAGCTATGCCTGGGTAAAGTTGTTATGAGTCACTGAATGTTGCAGCCCAGAAACCGGCCACGTAACCCAAATGCTAATGTTTTTCTCAACACGAGCCACCTAGTTTAGTAATACTCTCTTGCATACTCTCCTCCCACATCCTCCTCTTCAGCAATCTATTTCACTCTATTTTAAAATGATTGATGGACTGCCTCATCCATGATTTGTGGCAGAAAATTCCAGTCCTCTGTATACAGGTTTATTTTTTAATCTCTTTAAATTTAAGCCCTCTTGTACTAGAACAATTTGGAAATCATGTAACAAGTCAGCAATGACGTGGAAGGGTGGCCATATATCACTGGAAATTTCCCCCTGAGATACTGATACAAGCCAACACGCTAACCAGTTATATGCAGGTCACTTACTACAACAACAAACGTACATTTGTATAGTGCCTTTCACGTTGGGAGGACATCCCAAGGCGCTGGACAGACAGAGTTTCGGATCCGAGCTGGGCGTCGGGGAGGATGGAGGGGGGAAGCAGGAGATCTAAAGCACGGTCAAAGAGAAGGGTCTTGAAGGTGGGAAGAGAGGGGGCGAGGCGGAGGGACTGCGGGATGGACTTCCAGAGGGTAGGGCAGAGTGGCAGAAGGCCTGCCTGCCAATAGTGGGGAGAGCAAGGAGGGGGACGTGAAGCAGGCTGGAGTCTGCTAAGGAGGGGGAGCGAGCAGGATGGTAGGGGCTTCGGAGGTCGCAGAGTTAGAGGGGAGCAAGACCATGGAGGGCTTTGAAGGTGAGGACCAGGATCTTGAATGTATCCTCTGTGGGATGGGAAGCCAGTGGAGTTGGGCAAGGATGGGAGTGATAAAGTCGTGGAGCCTAGTGTAGGAGTGGACACTGGCTGCAGAGTTCTGGATGATCTGCAGCCTATGGAAGGAGGAACTGGGCAGGCCGACAAGCCTTGATGTAATGAAAGCGTGTATGAGGGTTTCGCCAGCTTGTGGTTTTAGCAATAAGGGTGGAGGCAGAGAGGTAGAGTTGGGTGTCATCCGCTTACATGTGGAGGTTGACCCCATGTCTGCGGATGATGTCACCAAGAGGGAGCGTATAGATATTGAAGAGGAGGGGACCAAGGACAGAGCCCTGAAGAACGCCACAAGAGATGGACAGAACATGTTGTACCCTATAAAGTAACTGGATGGCTATTGATTGCAACTCTCTCTGCACTTTTGTTTTGTTTGTCAATCTCATTTTCCCGCCTGTTTCCTTAACCCTTTAGTTCTTAAATATCTGTATCTCCGTCAATTCTGCTCCTACAGGCGTTTGGAGCCACATTCTCACAGCCCTCCGTGCGAGGGAACACAGCCATCCACTTTACAGTATATTTTTGTGAAGCACTTTGAGACGCCTCAATGACGTGATAAAGCACTAAATAAAAATGCAAGAATCATTATTATCATACAATCGTAGAACGTTTTGTTTGGCGTAAACCCCCTTTACGGCCAGTTGAACCTGCGGCTCATCAACCTTATTCCCTAAGCTACGTGCATTTGAGGAAATTGTCCACCATGTACCTGCTCTATGTTTCCCACTCGTCTTTTTCCTCTATTCCCTCATCTTGTGCTCTGATCTCCCTTTGAACCATCTTCTGGTGAAAGGATCTTTCGCCAGAGAGAAAAGCGGTGCATACTCCAGTTGGCTTGTACATCCCCCTTTCATTACGTTGAACGCCCCAGTGAGATCATTCCTAATCGAGGGAGCGTGACCCAAATTCACTCAGACTCTCCTCATCCCGGGGGGGTGGGGTTAGTCTGTCGGTGTGTCCATTTCGCCCACAAATATACAGTCAATTCACTTTACAGTGTGTTCTGTGAAGCGCTTTGAGACTCGAGAAGACGTGAAAAGCGCTATATCAAATGCAAGGATTATTATTATTATTATTATTATTACAACATCGGTTCCTGCTGTCCTTCCTGTACAGCATCCCTTACTCATAAACCTGCCAGCGTGCGCGCGTGCGCTCGCGCGCTCGATTGTTTCGCAAATAAATAGCTCGACGTGACTCCAAAAAAAAAATCATCCCCTCATCCCCCCCCTCCTCCTCCCAAATAAAGCGCCCCCCCCCAAAAAAAAATGCAATTTCATTCGTTGCTTTTTTTAAATAATAAAAAAAATTATTAATAAGGACACACACACACACACACACACCCACAAAAAAACACTCCCGCAGTGGAGATGCCGGGGATTGAACCCGGGGCCTCATACATGCAAAGCATGCGCTCTACCACTGAGCTACATCCCCAATGACGCTATGCAGAAGGCAATTAACTGTATATAAAAAAAAACTATACTCACAAACTCCCGCCTGGACTGGACGTAGCGCCCCCCCGCGGGCCGTGGGGGGGGTGACTGACGTTCAAGTACATTAGGAATCCTGTCGTTGAAAAAGAGGTCACTTTTTCCCACACCTCGACTTGTCATCGGGGATGTAGCTCAGTGGTAGAGCGCATGCTTTGCATGTATGAGGCCCCGGGTTCAATCCCCGGCATCTCCACTTTTTTTTTAAAAAAAGAAAAACCCTTTTAATTAATTAGATTGATGGATTGATTGATTGATTAATTAATTAGAGCTGCTGATAAAAGCAGCCAAACCCCCCCCCCCCCCCGCCACCTCCAACACACACCGGATTGAATCTCGTTGGCGTATTATTATAATAATAATAATAATAATAATAATAATTCTGGCAGGGACGCGAATGGCTTTTCTACGGCTTTGGTCGGTAAAGAAAAAGGGCGGCTCTGCGCGAAGGGAATAAACGGGCGAAGATCCTGCCCTCCTGCAAAGGGATGCAGACCAGGAGATTTATTATTCGTTGCTATTTTTTTTTTTAAAAATCGATAACAATCCCCGCAGTTGATACAGCGCCTCGTCGTGTCGTTGGGAGACGCCTCAAAGCGCCTTCACAGAATATATTGTAAAATGAATGGACTTGTGCATTTTGAGGGCAAAATTAGAATTTAACCGGTTACAGGAGTGGGATTCTCAGCATACTGTGGCCTGCAATGCCCCGCAGAGTCAGTGAGATAGATTGATAACCTGGAATTAAGAAGCACGGAGAGAAGGATCAAATAATAATCCTGGCCGTTGGCACGGCACCTTTATCACATCGTTAAGACATCTGTTTCAAAGCGCTCCACAGGATAATAATAATAATAATAATCCTTGCATTTGATATAGCGCTTTTCACGTCAGGAGGACGTCCCAAAGCGCTTCACAGAACACACTGTAAAGTGAATTGACTGTATATTTGTGGGCGAACGCGGCGGCCAATTGCGCCAGCGTTTTCAAAGCCTATCTTTGAATTGGCATAACAAGCTGAACCAGCCGATCCTCGCAACACCGGCAGCGCAGTTGTTAGTGAGGTTTCAGCGACGTGCGCAAACAAAATGATCCACACAGGTTTTGAATTGTGTTTTAAACAGAACAGTATTTTATAAAGGTTTTGCCTCCTTGTTCAGGACAGTTCTTTAACCGGTCTTATAAAGACCACCCGTCTTAACAAAGATACAGATTTTTAAAAAAAACACAACTTTCCCGATGTATTGAGATTACAATTTCAGTGAAATGCGGCGAAGCATCACTGCCTTATCAAACAGCACAGCTCTCTGCTGCAGGTTAATGAGGTATTGTTAATAATCCAATGCAACTCTCTGGGAAAAGTGTTCTCTTGCACTTCCACCTTCTCCTCCGGTCCCAATCGTCAAATGGGCTTTTCCTGTTTATCTGTGTTTCCTTTTCCGGTTTATCCTTGCACGAAGCATCACTGGGTGGTCTCCACACTGCATCGATTCACCACACAGAGAGCAAGCAACAAGTCCACACTGCAGAGCCAACGGTACAATTCCTCTGCACATAGTCCACACTAAATGTCCGTGGGAGGCCAATTCTTTGCGATATCGGCGTGCATTGCTTCAGGCAGCCACTGGCAGTAGGCGGACAACAGGTCTGTCCAAAAAGGTAGAGAGCAGGAAGAGAAAGCTTCAGACTACAGATACACTCAGTGAACTAACAGCAACTCAAACACATTTGACGTGAAGAACATCCAGATCCAGCCGCCTGTTATACTCACATTGGTTACTTTTCTTCCAGGTGGTGAGCAGGGCTTCCCGGCAGTCCACGCCCTCCGAGGCCAAAGCTTGTAGCAATATGTCCGTCCTGGGCTGAAGCCTGAGAAAGGTCAGAGCTCTAGGTCATTGGAGTCAGTGTCAACCCAAATCACAAGAACTGGATTCAGCAGATACATCACCAGCACCAACAACGAACTGCATTGATACAGCGCCTTTCATGTCGGGAGGATGTCCCAAGTAGGATGTCAGTTGTTACACCCAAATCCATGTTGTTGTAAGTAGGGTGACCACATTTTGCAAACCAGATCCAGGAACATACACCCACACAAAAATGTAACTCACCACAACATCTGATGCAGAAGCTTGTTGGATTAATGGCTGTGTTTCACTGATGAGTGTCTCTGTTTTAGAGTTTTATTGTTCTTACTCAGTTTGTCGCTAAACTCAAGACAGGGCAAATTTGGCACAATACCTTATCCAGAGACTGTCCCCGGGAATCAGGGATGTATGGTCACTCTAGTTCCAAGAAACCAGACACAGACACACACACACACTTGAATAAAGCTATTAAAATGCTGCTTCTCTCAGAAGAGAGCAAAACTGTGTTTTTATAATTAACTTTACAATATATTCAGTGACGTTACAGCGAATGCCTCCGTTACACCGACCGCAGAAGCTTCAAACCCCAAACCTACTTGGCCCAGGTCTTCAACAGGACTGCCGGGCTGGAGAGCAGACAGCTGGTGTACGAAGCAAACTTCTTAATGACCTTAATGAAAAGAGGAAAAGATACAGTCATTGATAGACATCAGCCGAGTGAGTAATCACCAAGTCCAGGAGGGAGAGATCAGGCGGGCGATGCATTGAGTTAAGTGCCTGGTCCTTTGGCACCTGAGCTCATACTGAACACAACCCACAGGGAGGGAAGCGAGGAAGAGAATGTTTGGATTCTGCCTTAGCTGGAACTATAGTGGTGAATATAACAGGCGTGTGCGACAACAACAACTTTTGTACTGTGCCTTTCAAACGTTGGGAGGATATCCCAAGGTATGCAGCATTAACACCCCCCCCCACCCCATAGCTCACCAGACCCCTCATCATACACAAGTCTGCATCTATCACTGGACAGGAGTGAGGGCCTGGCTCGTTCCTCTCCCACTGCCTCCGAGGCAATGTCCTCCCTCCGCCGCCCACCAGAGATCAGCTGCTTCTCCAGGGCACTGACTCCTCACCTTTCCTTCCAGTAAAAACTTGGCAAAGTGTTTGAATCTGTCCAGCCCTTCTGGATAGTCCATTTCCACCGCCGGCAGCTGCCAGCCCACTCGGTCTAGAGAGAGAGAGAGAGAAGAGGGCAGATAGTTTGTCAACATTTCACCAAACATCAGTCTCTAATCCACCGAAAAAAACGTTAACCTTCTTTCCCCCTTTCTTGTATAAACTACCCTGTGGAATAACCCTCAGGTAATGCAGAGCATTAGCTCGGACAGTGAACTCATCTTTTGGATGAGACATTAAACCCAGGTCCCACCTGCCTGACGTTAAAGATCCCACGGCACTGTTCAAAAAGAAGGGAGTTTCTCTTTCTCTTCCCCGGTGTCCTGGCCAACAATCCCCCAGATAAAATTTGGTCGCTCACTCCACGACCGTTTGTGGGACACTGCTGTGTGCAAACTGGCTTCCGCTTTAATGCACAGAACCTACACTTTACGGTATATTCTGTGAAGCGCTTTGAGACGTCTCAACGACGTGATAAGTCACTGCATCAAATGCAAGGATTATTATTATTATTATTGAGTCAAAGTCCTCGACGTGAGGGGGCTTGAGCCCACAACCTTCTGAGTCGGAGGCGCGAGAGCGACCAATTAAGCAACAGGCTGAAAACTGCAGTAAATGACATACATAAGCCACAAATAAATAAATCACCGTACACCCATGGAGGCAGGGGTTATACTTACAGAAGGTGCTGGCTCGGTGACACCTGACCCGGCCAGTGTCAGGGCAGTAACTTGGGGGGGGCGTCTCCAGCGGCTTCTCAAAGTGAGTGTACCGGGGCAGCAGGAGGGGAATCCACTCTGCCTCGATCTCCGTCAGTCCTGGTGGTGGGGGGGGGGGAGGGGGGAGAGGGGGAAGCACATTAGGACAATGATCTGATTCCGAAGCTCAGAGCCTCCTGAGCGAGGGGGAAACGTGCGGGTGGCGCCCCCCCCACCCGTGACCAGCCATACCTTTCATGTACATCTTGGAGGTCTCCACGATCTCCTGGTAAACCACAAACTCCGGCAGCTGCTTGAACAGCACGGAGCTGGGGTGGATAAACACCGGATCATCCAGAAGCGGAGTCTGCGGAGAACGAGAGGAAACGGGGTCAAAATCAAAGACTAACACGTACATATTCACCCCCCACCCCACCCACCTCCCCGCACCAACATTGACCTCACCTTGTAAGCGTTTCTCCACTTGTCCTCCAGCACCTCCCCCGGGGGCAGCCTCCTGGCGACCTGATCTCCCAGCCCCGCCAACACCATCTGTCTCAGCATCGTCACCTGCGACTCCAGGGGGGGCTTCATTTTGGGGTCGACAAACAGCCCCGCCTCCGGGTAAATGGCATTGGCTGGAGAGCAGCAACATGGACACAGATTACAGAGATACAACAACCAACTAACTAACTAAAGCAACAAGGAAGGTGCTGTCAATGGTATTTGTAGGCAAACAGGGTAGCGATGTGCACACCGTGACGTCACACACAAACTCACACACGTGGACACTCTCTCCCCACCCGCCCCCACAAACACACACACACACACACACACTCTCGCATAGCCTGTGCGGTGAACATCCGATTAATCCAGAGGTCTGGAGGCCAAGAGAAAACCAGGAGAAACTCCAGTCTCATTCCCTCTTTGACATCAGCCCGAGTGCCCTCCCACTCTGAGCACCACCAGCGCAGTGAGTGCTGGTGGCTGGGGAGGTGTGTGTATGTGTGCGTGTGTGTATATATATATATATATATATATATATATAAACACCGGCTCCTGGTTGATGTTCCCCAATTTACTGGCCCCCGGCACATTCTCCCTCCCTCGGCACACACTCACTGGCGTTGGTCAGCTGTGCTCGCAGCCGGCGGATCTCCAGCATGGCTTTGTATCGGAGGCCGTTCTGGGTGCAGAAGTGGAGGGTGCAGCCCGCGAACTCACAGGCTCCCACGGCCCCTGCAAGCAAGAGAAACACGTCAGAGAGGGGCTCCCCCTCCACCACCACCCCCCGCTCCGACGGCGGACACACTGCGGGTTCCCTCAGCGACCGGTGAATGTGGCTAAGGTCTGGCACGGTATACAGCCAAGTGTCAGTGTAACACATCCGTACCCAGCACAACCATGAGGTCTCCCAGCTTCAGCGACACACCCTGCCCCGCCCAAATCCGCTGCATTTGTGCCACGCGAGCTCTCTTCCCCTTAAGCTTCTGTGTCTCCTCCTCGTTGACCGCTGGCCTGTGGGGAGCAAGAGGAGCACATCACACGGGTGCACACCCACACACACACATCCGTGTTGTCACTTTGCAGCAAAGTACAGCTCATTGCACCAGGCAGCTAGCATGCGCTGTTTCTTAACAAGAAATATGGTAGCCTCTCCAGCAGCGGGTCTCCGGCAATTTTGGTACGATTCCTTAATAAGTCAAACTGTTAGGAAATACCACAAATTAGACACCGTTGAGCAACCGTACAATGCTGTGATTGACTGTGTAGGTGTGTGATTGCACATGTGTGTGACTGTGTGTGTGAGACCGTTGTCTGTAATGATACCGTGATGGTGGCGCTGTAATGTGATAGCCCGAGGGCCTGACCTGTTAAACTCCTCGAACAGCTCTCGCACGGTGAGTGCAGACACCAGTGTGATGGCGTACTGCATGCAATCGTGCTGACGGCTCAGTGCCAGCATCTTGGCGTATCGTGGTGCCACCGGGAAGGAGGCCATGGCTCTGCCGAGCGGGGAAATGGGGCAGCTCAGCTTCGCCCTCTCCAACTCTTTGTACCTGAAACAAACCGCAGGGTCCGGGTTAAACAGCAGGCGGGCGATCGAGCGGGACGAGGTGCCCGAGACACACACACACAGACACACAGACACACGGCCTGCTCCTACCTCCCGGTTTGCAGCGGCTCCACCAGCGCTCCCAGGGAAATGAGCAGCTCCTCCGCGGACACCAGCGACTCCCGGGACGGGGGGGTCGGGAATGGGAAGTTTACCACCTGCCAAACACACACCAAATTCAGCCAGGACGCACACACGCCAGCCTCCCACACCACACACATAGATCACCCTCCTTCCCCCCCCCCCCCCCCCCCCCCCCCCCCCCCCCCCCCCCCACTCACACCTTTTCAATGTTCAGGTCTTTCATCTGCAGAACCAGGTCGTCCACGGGCCTCCGGGTGATCTCCGCTGGAGAGAATTCCTCGAAGTCGGCAAAGACAGCAGAAGAGTAGAGCCTGGGAACGAGCGCAGTGTTTAGTCCCGGACCCGTCACACAGACACCCGGAGAGCAGAGCACACCCACCCGCCCCACCACCACCCCCGCCCTGAAAAAACATGTACATGTAGCGTGATGACGACACGGGGTCACGGTCTAACACGGGGGGGGCCGCGCCTGCCCCCTGGTGCCTCAAGTCTGTTACTGCAACACCAGGACTGACAAAAGCCCCCGTTCCCCTTTCTCCTCTCCGTCCCACGGCTGCTGGGATGTGCAGGTGGGCGGCTGGGAGTGGGGGAGAGGGCAGGGCTCTCTCTCTCTCTCTCTCTCTCTCTCTGTCCACTCAACACCTCCTGGCTGTTCTTACAGCAATCTACTGACTGCAAAATATGGGGCAATTCCTCAGCAAAGGAACCACGGAGTCCTGCAGCTTAGTGGTTAGAGCGCTCGCCTGAGTTCGAATCCCGGGCACAGGGCGAAACCTTAGGCAAGTTTCCTTACTCCACACGCCTCTGTTTAGCTGGCAGTGAGCAGGAACCCGAATCGCTTTTGGTGGATACTAATCCCCACCGCCCCCCCACCCCACCAAAATAATAATTTGATCACTTCAATCCACGACTGTGTGTGGGACACTGACCTGTAACAGTGGCCTGGCTCTGTGCGTCCTGCGCGCCCCGCTCTCTGGTTAGCCGAGGCCTGTGAGATCCAGGTGACCCGGAATGTCGAGACTCCTGTGAGCTGATCGTAGAAGCGTCTCTTGGATTTCCCGCAGTCCACCACGTACTTGATGCCGGGGATGGTCAGCGAGGTCTCCGCCACGTTGGTGGCCACCACACACAGCCGGGTGCCGCCCGGCGCCGGCCGGAAAACCTGACGACAGAGAGAGAGAGAGAGAGAGAGAGTGGCCAGTGCCGGTCAGCACAAAGTCAGGACTCAAATCCAACCCCCCCCCTCCAAATCATCGTCTTTTAATCTCTGCCGAGGCGGGACGTGGGGGAGGAAGGTGCCCAGGAACCAGCCTCAACTCCCCCACCCCACCCCTCCACTCCAGCCCTGAAAGGAACACTTCCTGGTTTCTGTACCAAACATGCCACTCACCCTCCTCCCGCCTGCCCCATGGCCCCCGTGTCGCTGCACCACCCTGTTTGTAAGTGTTAATCTGGTTCACATTTTGCTACCATGTACTTCTTCTATCGCCCCAAATCGAGGGAGGAATGGGCGAGAGAAAGAATGCTTGCTCACCTTTGCTTGATTCTCTGCAGACAGCATTGAATATAGAGGAAGAACGTAGAGGGGAATAGACGGATCAGGCGTCTCTGCTGTCGACGGAAAATGTAAAGTCAGAAGAAGCTTGCATATCTCTGCGGCACCCCCACCACCCCCCTCGGTCACAGCCTTTACATTCCATCGGGAACCCGGCAACGCTTGCGTTTGGGTAAAATATTCTGGATTTGTCTGTGTCGCCGCAGGGAGGGAATCGGCAGGTGCAGCGCGATGCCGGGCTCACACCGGGCGGTAGACACTCACCAGCCTCAGCACCGTCACCATCTCCCAGGTCCAGGTCAGCGTCAGAGCCGGCCTCCCCATCACCATCGCTCCCTGCCTCCCGATCTTCAGCCTCTTCCTCCTCCAGCGGCACCGAAGAATAATTGGCGAGGTCGATCCTCGGCAAAGTCTACAGCGGGGAAACAACGGCAGATTAACACCAAGTTTGGCTTTTTCTCCCTTCCCCCTCCCCAGGGTCAGGAACTTGCAACACACAGGAGTCCGTCGAGCAGCAGCGTACACACAGGGCTGCAAACGTACCACAGCTTTGGCTTTTGCTTTTTTAAATCTTTTCATTTCTTTCGTCTCATCTTCAGCCTGGTCCTTTTCTACCATTATTGGGGAGAGAAGAGAGACTGTTAACAAGTGTGTGTGTGTGCGTGCGCGCGTGAGCAAGTGAGTGTTTGTGTGAGCGTGAGTGTGAATGTGCTCTATGAATGTGTGTGTATGACTCTCGGCAACGCTGCGGCATCTCGCACGTACTCACGCACGGAAACTGTACCTTTGCCGCTGTGGCCAGGACGGTGTGGGAAGGATCTCCGCAGCCTCCTACACAGGGAGTGCACCTCAGCCTGTCCTGTCAGGAACACTAGGATCCCACCTGCAGGCAGACAGACACAAGAGAGAATGAGAGAGAGAGAGAGAGGGTGAGCCTCCAGAGAGCCTGGCAACGAACGGTCAAACAGAAAATGTTAACTCTTCTCAATCTTAACCCGGGAACCTGGAAAGACAAGACGCAGACTGAGCAAACTTACGAAAGAGAGAAACACAGAAGAATGAATCGAGAGAGGGAGACACACACACACACACACACAGTGATTGAATGAGAGACAGAATGATCAAACCACACAGAGATACACACACACATATTGATTGAATGAAAGATATACACAGAATGATTAACAGCAACAACAACTGGCATTTATATTGCGCCCCTCGTGCAGGGTAGAGTCCCAGAGCGAATAAACTCAAGACACGTGCACACAGTGGCTGTAAGAGAGATACACACACACGCAGAATGATTAAGAGACATGTACACGCACAGTGAATGAATGAGAGAGAGACCGACAGTAAGGAATGAAGGAAGCAGTGATGGGTGCGAGAGGGAAGTTTGCTCTTACCCGGAGGTAACATGCGATGGATTTTGCAAATTTTCCTGAAAGCCTCGCCCGCGTAGTCGTCGAGTGGCGTGCGTTTGTTGAAGTGAACGGTGACGGCAAACTGCCTGGTGCCCACCTGAGAACCGGGGCCAGAAAACAGGTCACACACCACGCGGGTCTCATTGGCACACACACAGGGACTCGGGCAAACACAGCGAGTACTCAACTAGACCTCAGCTATAACCCTTTGCTGCCAGGTTTAACTCCCAACTAGACTACACGCTAAACCCTCACACACATTTAGAAATGACGGTGCGGTACGAGCCCACAATATGTGTGCTTTGCAGGCGAACAGGGCAACCAAGGTGCGCACAGCAATATCTCACAAACGGCCACCCTGTGAAGGAACAACTTTAACAGGAGAGGGAGGGCCGCAAGAAAAAAATTCCTTCTCTTTTAAGGAGTGCCATAGAATCTTTAATGTCCATCCAAACAGGCACAGAACACGACCTTTAACAGTTTAATGTCTTTTCCGCATTGTTTAATGTCATCCCATTGTAATGCTGCGTTCTTGAATGAGAGAGAGAGACGACCACAGCTCCAGCAATGGGATGTCAAAGTCCCCACTCACCAACTACAAGCTACTGACTGATCCGCAGACTGACTGACTGACTACACAGCAAATGATGGAGAGCGATGTGATGTGAAGTGAAGACCGTACCTCGATGACGGGGGGACGAGCAGGAAACAGGCTCTCGTTGGCTGTGAAGTCTTCCACTCGCAGCGTGGCGGACATGATAATCAGCTTGAGCGGCCGGCCTCTCTGAGGAAAACACACGCTACAAGGGTCAGAAACACTCAGCAAGTACACATTGGCCAAACACACACCCGGATGCTACCATTTATTCAGTGACGTCCTTCCAGCCTTGTATTCTTTCGGCTCTGAATGATGCGGAAACAATTCAAAGCGCTTCACTGTCGAGCGATATGGTTGTAACTAAATGTGGCAGTCAATTTGCATGCAGCAGGTTCCCACAATTTGGTGGGGGAAGGGGGGGGGGCATCCGGGTGTCTGACACATACGGAAACACATCACCATGCTTAAGAGTCTCCAAACCAAACTGTGGGAATGGAACGCGCACTCTCTCTCTCTCTCTCCCTGGAGGAACGCATCCTGCTTATCTAATTCCGGAAAGTATTAGGCGCAGGTTGGCAGGAGCCAAGGCTTGGGGACCCCAGAGTGTGTGTTGGGGTAACTGCTTGAGTTAGCTAAAACCGCACAGCTTGCCAGTGAGAACACTGTATGGCAAGCAAGTTCCCACAAACAGTCCCACTCAGTGAGTGACCAATTTACCCATTGAATTGGGAGCCAGGGCACTGGGAGCAGGGGTAGGACACACCTTTCCCTTTTGTGCCGTGGGATTGTTAACATCTACTTGAACAGGCAAAGACGGGAACTGGGTTTAACATCTCCTCCCGACAGTACAGCGCTCCTCAGGCTTACAGCCCTTCCACTACCTTTGCCCGTAGAGGAACGATGCGAGACAGCAGCCCAATCAGGATGTCCGTGTACACACTCCTCTCGTGAGCCTCGTCGATGATGATCACTTTGTACTTTGTAAGCAGGAAGTCCTGGAACATTGCAAACAGTACTCACAGTCACCAGCTAGGACTGAGGTCTACATACTCTGTGTCTCTCCCTCTCTCTCTCACACACACACCAACAAAATCAACTTGCACTTACATAGTGCCCTTCATGCAGGGTAGCTTCCCGGAGCTCTTGACAGTGACGGAGTCTGACTACCAACTCACTGTCACACACACCCACACACAGAGAGCCCTCTGTATTCCCACCCACACATGGAGGAGTGCACAGACTGGGGAGAGGTAAGAGACTGCAAGGGTAGAGAGCAGTAAGACAGACACCGGGTGACGAGCGTCACTCACCCTCTGGATTTCCTTCAGCAGCACGCCGTCCGTCATGAACTTTATTTTCGTGTTTTCGGTCGTGTTGCCTTCGTATCGAATCTGGTACGAGACCACCCTTAAAAGCACAAGTCGGGTCAAACAGGAGAGCAGACAAAAACCCCACCATTCCCAACAACAACAACAAATTACATTTACACAGTGCCTCGGTAGGACGTCCCAAGGCGTAGGACAGTGAAGGGTTTCCACCCGAGCCGGGGTTCGGGATCAAGAGATGCGATTCTCCCCCTTGAATGAACAGCTGGACCGAGCCAGGATCCACTCCGTCAGCAAAGAGCACATGGAGCTCTCATCCCCAGCTGTTTCCCAAGCACCTCTGGCAATGCCCCCCCCAGCACTGCACCAACACTTGTGAGCTACAAGGTAATGCCACTTTACCAGATTTACAGGCTCACAATTCAGTAACGAGGCTGGATAAACAGTTAGTGAGTTCCGCTTGATGACTTCACACATGCTCCACGTGACATTAATGAAGAGAGAGAGAGAGAGCGCTCCGCACCTGTCTGAGAGGTTCATTTCCTTGGCCACGCGCTGGGACATGCTGACGGCGGCCACTCTCCTGGGCTCCGTCACCCCGATGATCCCGTCACCGCTGCGGACAAGGTTTTACACACAGCTGCTTAGCAACATGTCAGCCACATCCCCACAGGCTGTGCACAATTCAATAAAGAATACAGAACACTCAGCAGCTCCTCTCCCCCAGGGCAGAGTGAGCAGAGCAGCGGCTTATGGAGTGGGAGCTCGCTGGTTTGATTCACGGTCCAAGTTGAGTTTGCTAGACTTGTGTGCGAGCGGAGAACGAGCGCTATGCGTGTGAGTGGCGGGTGTGCAGTGTGTGGTGTGAGCAGTGGGTGTGCAGTGTGTGGTTATGAGCGGGCTGTGGGTGTGCGAGCGGATTGTGTGTGTCGTGCGTGGGAGAGCGAGCTGTGCTGTGTGCGCTGCGCTGTGAGTGAATGGGGCATGTGTCGCGTGAGAAGCCCGCTGTACCTGGCGTAACCAGCCTCGTACAGGAACTGCGGCACCTGGGTGGTTTTGCCGCTGCCGGTCTCGCCGCTGATCACCACCACGCGGTTGTGCGTCACGGCCTCCATCACCACCTGCTCCTCCGCTAGGATCGGCAGCAGCAGCCGAGCTTCCTGCGGCGAGAAGGAAAGGAAAAAAATAACGAGTTAAAGATTCCCGGCGTTTCTCCCCGGCGACCTGGTTCTGAACCGTTACTGATGGCGAACGCTACAGACAGACCTGGATTTCCGGGCTCCTGTCCACGGGGATGAAAATGGCCGGCTGCGAGGGTGGCTTTGGCTCCGGGATTTTCCCAGGGGCGGCGGGGGCCTCGGCTGCCGCTGTGTTCGACGCGCTCTGTGCCTGGTTACCGGTTTCGACCGGTGGCTCAGATCCTGCCGTTGTATCACCCGTCTCTGTCACTGTTTCCGTTTCGTCCACTCGCTCTTCCTCCTCCTCACTCGAGCTCTCGGAAGATTCGCTCGTCTCGGACTCTAGCTCCTCCCCCGCCTCTGACCCCCCGCTCCGCCTGTTGGCTCCACTGATACTGCTGATCTTACAGGGGCCGTCAGGCTCGGCTTCACACCTACAGAGGACGAGAGTAGAGGAGGGAAGGTCATATCATTTCTCATATATATCCCCCCAGCTGGTACAGTACAGAGCTTGGTGTCAGACTCACAAAGTGCCTCAGCCCCAGGGCTACGCACTATGAGCTCAGGGCAGGATGTAGAGAAGCTGTCGTAACAAGATGAAGATGAAACAACAACAAATTACATTCACACAGTGCCTTACACATCGGAAGGTCGTCCCAAAGTGCTGAACAGTTAGGGATTTGCACCCAAGCTGGGGGGTTGGGTTCAAGAGGGACGGGAGGGCAGGGGTTAGGAGGGTCGGTCGAGGAGGAGGGTCTTGAGCCGGGTCTTGAAGGAGGCAAGGGTGGGAGGGGAGCGAGGCGGAGGGACTGGGATGGAGTTCCAGAATGTGGGGCAGAGAAGCCGAGGGCCCGATTAGCCGATGGAAACAAACGATCTTACTCACAGCTTAGTCTGGTACAGCCGCTGCCCTGTGCCCAGCTTGGAGGTGGTGAACAGAAGCTTCATTTCCGACTCGGTGGCCTGGCATTCCGTGAGTTTACTCAGAATATCGGCTCTCTGTAGGGAGGGGCCAGGGAGAGAGGTTAAAGCACCAAAGGCAACCGCAAACCTCCCCAAACACCACGGCCCCCAGTGGCCCCCCTCGAGCCCCCCCCCCCCCAGGGCTGTGCTTGTCCAGCTCGGTCCACCCGGGTCAACAACGAATGACCTCTATATAGCGCCTTTCAAATTCAGAAGCAGAAAGGCTGAAGGTCCGTCCGCCGATGGTGAAGCGGGCAGGACGAGGCCAGTGCCCACCAAGCAGAGAGGGCAGACAGGTTGGTAAGGTGTTGAAGAGGAACAACGTGCATTTACGCAGCACCCTTTTCGCTGGGGAGAGTCCCAGGGACCCAGACAGCCCGGCTCACCCGTCGACTGAGCCTCGGACGTGCCGATGCGCTGTTTCCTCAGAGCCAATCCAACCCGCCCCGTCCCCAACCCGTCTCACAGCACTCCTCATCGAGGCGAGAGGAAAATTAACCTGGGTTTTCTTTTCTTTCAGCTCCAGTACTTTCTGCAACTGTTTCCTGCGCTTCTTGCTGAGCGGTGGCCTTTGCACCGCCGCCTCCTCCCTCGCTCGCTTTCCCTTGGTCCTCTTCCCCGGCAGGACCAGGGCGTTGCTCTCATCGACACCTTTCAACTTGGCTCCATCTTCACGAGGTTATTTGGGTGGGGAGGGGGGAGCGGGGGAGGGGGGGAGAGGAGGGGGGAGCGGGGGAGGGGGGAGCGGGGAGAGGGGGAGGGGGGGATCGTGGAGGCGGAAAGAGAGATTATATAAACGTGGAGACATCTCGAATCGCTCCGCAACGTACGTATCGCCGTTTGTCGCAAACAGTAGCGCTGCCCAGGACTTACTGTGAAGTGTAGTGACTGTGTGTAGCTGTGGGTAAACAAACTAACTAACTGTTCTGTCAGCCAGGTGTAGTGACTGGCTGGCTGGCTGACTGACTGACTGTAGTGACTGACTGGGTGGCTGTAATGACTGACCGACGGGGTGTAGTGACTGTGGTAATCCCAGGGGCCGGTTGCCTAGGCAACAACCCGCAGCAACCGCACTCTTCCCCCACCCCGCGCAGAGGGCCGAGCCTGAGGCCCGCGAGCCCTGACCTGGCCCGCGGGCCGGAGCCCGTGAGTTACTGACCTGACAGCTCCACCCGCACCCGGAGCGGCGCGGGGGCGGCTCCCGGTCCCGGGGACGGTGCCGGAGGCCCGCGAGGCCGCCGCCGTCCCCCCGCGACCGCTCTCAGCTGCCGCGCGCGCCCCATCCTCCGTGAACACGTGCCGCTGCCCGGCCCGCCCTGCCCCGCGGCCAATCAGGGCCGAGCGCGAGCCTCGAGGCCCCAATCAGAGGGTGCCTTCGGGATCGGCCAATCAGAGCAAGGCAATGGGGGCGGAGCGGCCAATCAGAGCAAGGCAATGGGGGCGGAGCGGCCAATCAGAGCAAGGCAATGGGGGCGGAGCGGCCAATCAGAGCAGAGGACTGGAGGCGGCCAATCAGAGCAAGGCAATGGGGGAGCGGCCAATCAGAGCAGAGGACTGGAGGCGGCCAATCAGAGCAAGGCAATGGGGGAGCGGCCAATCAGAGCAAGGCAATGGGGGAGCGGCCAATCAGGACAGAGCCTGATAACGACAACAACAACAACAAGATGACATTTGCACAGCGCCTTTCACGTCGGGAGGACGTCCCAAAGGCTCTGGACGGTCAGTGTCGTGGGATGTCCTCCTGATGTGAAAGGCGCTATACAAATGTAATGTTGTTGTTGTTGTTACGGAGCTGAGCTGAGGGGTCGGGGGCCGGGGAAGAAGAGGGGAGATCCGAAAGCACGGTTGAAGAGGAGGGTCTTAAGGTGGGCCTTGAAGGCGGCGAAGGAGGGGGTGAGGCGGGATGGCGTTCCAGAGGGTGGTGGGTGCAGAGCGGCGGAAGGCCCGCCCGCCCGCCGATGTTGGGGTGAAAAGAGCGGGGGGAGGGGAGCAGGTCGGAGCCCGCTGAGCGGAGGGAGCGAACAGGATGGTAGGGGGTTAGAGGTCGGAGAGGTAGTGGGGAGAAGGACCGTGGAGGGCTTTGAAGGTGAGGACCCGGATCTTGAACTGTATCCTCTGTGTGATGGGAACACACAACCATATACAGTCCATTCACTCTATGGTATATTCTGTGAAGTGCTTTGAGACGTTTCGAAGATGTGATAAAGCGCTATATCAAATGTCAGGATTATTATTATCCATTATTATTATTATAAGGATGGAAGAGAGGAATTTCTGGTCTGACTTGTAACTCTGGTAGAAATTAGGCTTGTATGAAAATCTTAAAATCAATTTTTTTCTGGGATTAAAGCTGCTTATCCCTTTGGAGACAATGATAATAATAATAATAATAATGATCATGGATGAATTTAGTAAACTTCCTTGAAATTTCAATTACAAACCTTGCAGTCTTTAAGCAATTTATCAAAGCGCGACCAAGAAGGCAGTATATTAGATGTTATCATAGCCACTGTGTGAGATCAAACCCCAAAGCCAGATAGTGTCTTATTGATTTTAGCTATGTGCCAATTCAGTGTAAAATTGCTGGATACTTAGGTTAAAAGGTTCAGAGTTATTTATTTTGTGACTAGACTACAAAAGATGAAGCAAACAGTAAAGTCCATGAGGTGAGCGAAAAAGTGATAGCTTTGCACAAACGCCGTGCAGAACAGGTTGCATTGGCAGAGTTACCCAACCACAGCAAATTGCACCTTATGCATAGTAGAACAGCAACCTCGAGAGCAATTCTAACGCCGGGCCCCGAACGTTTCAGCTCGCGGTTTCCAGTTTATCTTTTTGCAGAAAAAGACAAGATTGGGAGAGAGTTGCCGGTGCAGAAGGCCCTCGAGCTCACTTGATCTCATCCTTCCAACATAACCCTCCTGCCATCTTCCGTCACAGCCTCAGCTGTTTCTTAAATGAACCGAGAGCCCTCTCCGACCCGCTTACTCCTTGACCCACTGCTTGTCGCCTCAGCTCGGGCCGGCTCCTGCTTGTCCGAGGCGTCGCGCTTTCAGCCACTGGACCCCAAAACGCCCTCTTATCCCTCCGCTTCGCCCTTCTCCTTCGTACCCGAAGACCTTCCGCTTGGACCGGTCACCTCCCGCCGCTCCCCCTCTCCCTCTGGCCTCGGCGTCGTGCTCCGAGGCTGTCAAGCGCTCTGGGACGCTACCCTGCATTGGGGGGTGGGGGGGGGCGCTGTGAATGCAAGTTGTCGTCGTCGTTGCTCGCCGGTTAATTCCAGTCAACGTCGAGGTGGAATTTGGAGTCTCCCTAAAGCGGACGGCATCACAGGAGGCCACGTCTAATATTATATGTGATATATAATAATAGTTATATGTGATATGCAATGCAATGATATAATATCGGGGCTGATGGAGTGGGGTAGACCCCTGGGGTTAGAAATGGGCGTGTGTTTAATTCCCGGCCCCTTTGGGCGCTGTGTGCAGTGTCAGAGCGGACGCTTTAGCAGTTGCACAGCGTGAGTGAGGAGGGGGGAAGACTTTCGCGGCCGTACAGCGCGCGCGGGAGGCGGTGAGAGCGGAGAGCCGGGGCTGCGGGTGGCCCTGATGGCGGGGCTGCGCTGCCGGGCGCTGGGCCTGGGTCTGGCCGTGTCCGTGGCCGCGGTGCTGCTCTTGGCCGCGGGCCCGGGGCTCGGGCTGAAGCAACGCTACGATTCCGGCTCCGACCACAAACAAAACACCCTGAGGCGGGCGGCGAGCGGCCTGTACCAGAGCCTGGCGGCCGCGGCCGGGGAGGCCAACCTGCGCGCGCTGCACAAGGTACCGGGTGACGAGGGGGGGGGTTCGGGGCCCCTGGGTTTGGGGGTTCGGGGCCCCTGGGTTTGGGGGTTCGGGGCCCCCTGGGTTTGGGGGTTCGGGGCCCCTGGGTTTGGGGGTTCGGGGGTGGGGGGTGGGGAGGCCATGGGTTTGGGGGTTCGGGCCCCTGAGTTTGGGGGTTCGGGGGGGGGGTGGGGGAGGCCATGGGTTTGGGGGTTCGGGGCCCCTGAGTTTGGGGGTTCGGGGCCCTGGGTTTGGGGGTTCGGGGCCCCTGGGTTTGGGGGTTCGGGGCCCCTGGGTTTGGGGGTTCGGGGCCCCTGGGTTTGGGGGTTCGGGGCCCCTGGGTTTGGGGGTTCGGGGGCCCCTGGGTTTGGGGGTTCGGGCCCCTGGGTTTGGGGGTTGGGGCCCCTGGTTTGGGGGTTCGGGGGCCCCTGGGTTTGGGGGTTCGGGGGCCCCTGGGTTTGGGGGTTCGGGGCCCCTGGGTTTGGGGGTTCGGGGCCCCTGGGTTTGGGGGTTCGGGGCCCCTGGGTTTGGGGGTTCGGGGCCGCTGGGGTCAAGTTTATTTTTTGCAATGTTTTAAATACAGACATTGCTCCAAACTGCAATGGCTCAAACGCCAAATCGGTGCATCAGGTTTGCAATCGTTTTTTTTAACAAAAGAAAGTGTCTGTGTAGGAATTTCTGTATCAATTTCGCAAGATGCACAGTCACTACACTTTGCAGCATATCCCGTGAAGCACTTTGAGACATCCGGACGACAAGATTGTCGTTCACAAAGATTGCTAATGTTGGTAACTGCAGTGTTTTAAATACATATATATATATATATTTTAAAAAGTGCACCCAACGTTTTAAATGATTAAAATGTATTTAAGTAACCGGTCTTCTAATGTATCTGTGTGTCTCAGTTTTTCTCGAGAATCACGGAGCAGTTTGTGCAGGGGGTGGATACGCTGGTGGACACAGTGTGGAAGATCTGGGCCGACCTTCTGGATGTGCTGGGGATTGATGGTAAACTGTCTTATCCCATGTATACACTTACACCTGTCTTTAACAACGTCTCAGGGCACTGGACCACAGTATATAAGGGTGGCCTTGGAGTAAGAGGATTTGTTGGTGTGTGAACCCAGACTGTAAACAGGTTTGCTGAATGGAGGTTTGACTGTATTGTCATTAAGAATGGTTGCATTGTCCACTGTGCCTTTCACGTCAGGAGCAAGCAAAGCGCTTCACAGGGTTTATTATAAAGTGCAGTCACTGTGTAGTGTGTAGGGGAACGCGACAGCCAATTATATGCGAGCAGCACCTCTCCATGCCCAATAAATTGCTGTGAAGCATTGAGTCAAGTCGTGGGGTAGAAACTATAGTATGGGGGAGGAGGCTTTTTGTCCCCATTGAACCTGAATTGGTGTCATCTCCGTGCGCTGGACTGTCAATAAAGTGAAACCGTTTGAGATGTTCAAAAGGCTGTGATGCTAGATCCATTAAAATTTTCACAATTGAGGCGCATAGATTTTTGTTAGGTCAGGATATCAAGGCATATGGGGCAAAGAAATTTGGCATTGAGGTACATGATCTAATAGAATGACGGAACTGAATAGAATGAAGGGCTGAATGGCCACCTCCTGTTCCTATGTTTGGATACTATAATCCCGTCTCGTTTCCTTGCAGCAACGAACCTGACCCAGTATCTGACCCCGACCACAGTGGCCAACCACCCGGCCCGAGTACTGCTGCTGGTAGTGGCAGTGCTCATCGGGTACTGGTTCCTCTCCATGTTCCTGGGACTGTTCTTTTATGCCCTACATGCGCTACTCGGGCGCTTTTTCTGGCTGGCTCGTGTAGCCCTCTTCGCCCTCTCCTGCCTCTACATCCTGCAGAAGTTTGAGGGAGACCCCGAGAGAGCAGTGCTCCCCCTCTGCTTCGTGGTGTTGGTTTATTTCATGACCGGCCCCGTGGGCTTTTACTGGCGACGCGGTGGTGGAGGAGGCCACCTGGAGGAGAAGATCGATCACCTCGAGGGGCAAGTCCGGGTCATGAACCTGCGTCTGAACCGAGTGCTGGAGAGGCTGGACCGAAACAACAGCCAGTGATCAACTAGATCAAGTGGTTCGGTAACAGTGGTTTAACAAGCATTGAATCTAACACGTTCAACCCAGCAGCAAACGGAATTAATAATCTGCATTTTGGGGGCCGCGCTTTAACAATCAGTCAATCACTATTTTTTAAAAAAAATCTTCTATGAGATTGTTTTTAATTTAAAATGCATTATTAAGTGATTAGTGCTTGTCTCTTGGTAGTGATGATTATTGGGTGGTGGGGGGTGAGAAATTGTCTTTCAAAGTGCTTTTTTATTATTGTTCTGTTTAACCTATGTCTTAAACTTATACCAGGGGGCCAAAATGTGTTATTTTCTGTATGTGATCCGATTGTGAAGAGACGTTAGCGATGGAGAAACGCGAGCAAACATTTGCTCAGTCTCTGGGTAAGAGAAAGAACAAGGTCGGACTATATTTTTGCTCAGCATTTTTTATGCACTCTTTGTGGACGTGATGTTTCCTCATCGAATTTAGAAGGTTGGTTGTGGTGACATTATCTCTTGGCTGTGGTGTAGTATACTTATACTGTTGCTATAATCATGGGTTAATTAATTCCAAAATAAGTGTCATTTGTATTGGGTTTTCTCGGCTGCTCTCTCCCTGTGCCTCTCAGTGAGAGGGGGAGACTGGTACATCTAGACCTGTCTGCGACTTGCTATGAGGGCCTGTGCTATGTGGTTCATTCGCTACAAAACACAGTGTGAGTGGTGGGATAACTGGTGACCTGTGTGTGTGTCTGTGGGAGACCAGAGTTGTTCTAATTATGTATCTCAAGTCTCGGGTCCACAAGAACATTATGCATATCTTCAGAAACCAATCAGTGAAGCGGCAAGCAGCGCCTCGGCACCAATGACTGGCCGTGTCACTCGGGCTTCTTAAATTTGAGAGAGGGTCTGCGGAAGGAATCGTAACCGGTGAATCCTGAGACACAGGATAAGATCCGCTGGTTGCAAATCCCTTTTTACACAGTGGCAAAGCAGGCCCCTTTTTCTATCAGCTGAACTCAGTTGCAGTGATATTTTAACCTTTAACGGCAATTCAGTCATATGACCATAGAATATTACAAGCACAGAAGGAGGCCATTTGGCCCATCGTGCTTGTGCCAGCTCTTTGGAAGAGCTACCCAATCGGTCCCAGTCCCCCGCTCTTTCCCCATACCTCTGCAAATTTTTCCTCTTCAAGTACCTGTCTAATTCCCTTTTAAAAGTTGTGATTGAACCATGCCAATAATTTTCAAGCTGATTTATTTTTGCCCCAAATTATGATGATGGGAGGCAGAGACAATAAGCCGATAAACTTGAAGACAAAGTCCCTTTGACTTGCAAAGTGAAGCGTTCGTACAGAGTATTCCGTCCTTTGGATAACATATCTGGCTGCTCTAAAGTATGGAATTGATTTTGTTAATTAAATGCCTGATATAATTTAATTACAAATACACTGTTTAACAGTTGAAGATTTTCACACTTCACCTGTGTGTGCGTGTGCGCATGTCTGTTTTTAATCTCACTTCCCATTCACCTATGACGTTATGTTCTCTTGTGTCATTTGGACAGTACCTCACATCGTACAGTAACTGTTACACTTATGTATGTGCCGTGGTAGGGATTTTGTGAGAATATCGAGGTGGCAATTTTGTTATAAATGAGAATTATATCTAATAATGACAATGTGTAAAAGCACAATGTTGCTGTACGTCTTAATTCAGAAGTAAAAATGATGGCAATACCATTTTCCAATTGAATGCTGGTTTATATCGAGATTTTATCGAGGTTTAATATTATTATGTTATTGGATAGTTTACTATTTATTAAATATGATTAACTGGTACGATTGTGTTTGCGTGTGTGTATATACAGTAAACTCCTGATAACTCAACCCTGGCTTAATTTGTCACTACCACTTAAGTCATCATGCTGTTGATATCCTGGCCACACTTATTTATGTATTTATATAGACGCCTAACTCATCACTGAGCTTTTTTCCTTCAGAGTGACGAGTTGTCAAGAGTTTACTGTATGCGTATACTATATGTATTTCACTTATTATTAACTGAAATGTCAGCATGTATCCAAAGTCACAGGGGATTCGGATGAAAGTGGCTGTTTGATCTCATTCTCCACACAACAGTCTTCCCATTAAAACATTAATATGTTGCTTAAATTAAACCCACTGTCCTGGCCTCTGACAGCCTTCCAAAAAGCCTACCTTGTCCTCTTCTAACCTCTCAGCCGCCCTTCCCACTTCGCTCAGTTATCTTCACTGTCCCACTATCCAATGCTATGTATGCTACGCTGTGTAAGTTGCTGTTCTCTGAACACGTGTTTGGAGTAAATTGACCTGAAGGGGGAAGTGCCCTGTTATCTGCTGCTGTGTCACAATTTGTACATGAGATTGTGCTTGTCTACTGTACTCGGAACTCAGCCCCAACCTCGTTTAACCCCACCTCAGCAAGACTGAGTCATTGGCTGGTGTGAGTTACTTCCTCAGCCATGATGTCAGCACACCATCTGGCCATCTGGCCTGACCCTATTAATGAGCAGCCAGCACACAAGGTTAATGACATGAGATCGGGCAGGGAGCCTGAAATCGCGATCGGGAATAGATTGGACATTTGTTTGAGACACAATGTTCGATGACCTGATATCCCCTGCGAATTGTGTGAACGGTGAAATGAATGCTGCTGGAAGAGACATGTGGTTCTGCAGTGACTATGGCGTTGTCACACAGTGGCTGAGCTCAGCTCCTCTGGTGGTGACAGCCACCGGGTGGAAACCCGGTTCCATGATACACCTGAGGGTCATCTAAGCAGCGAAGGTTTTTGAAGATTGCATCCCTCGCTTGCGTTAGACCTTGTCACCAACAGTTCTTGCCTCAACTCCACTGCCCGGACTTACATGATGGAGGAAGATCTGTCCCAGCGCTGGGCAAATGTGCACGGAGCGTTGTTTTAAGGCTCAACGTGCCAGAGTTTTAAGATAAAACTCATTTACTTTCAAAGCCAATATTGTAATCATTTTAAAAACGTATGTTTTTTTTGGGGCCACATCTTTGGGTCGATGCATTCAAACTCCCCTTCCTGCTCAAGTGATTCCCATCAGTTTCTCCCATCAGTTTCGCTCACAAAAAAAACACAAGACAATTCACTTTACACTATATTCCGTGAACCGGTTGAGACGTCTCAACGTCTCTCGCACCCTTCCAGTGATTCCTTCCGAAATAGGTGTTTAATTCCCTCTTGGCCATAATGATAAAATCTGCCTCTGGTTGAACATGAGTTATTTTTGTAATGTCTGACTTTGAATTCCCACTTAATCGGGAGGGGGTTGAAGTGAGCCGAAACCCTTCACTTAATATTGCTGTACGCAAAGGTGGTTCCTTTGTTCAGTGAAACACGCCTCCGGGTCGGAATAAAACTAGGACGACGGGCGCACATTTGTAGGCAAGGTCCTGGGCTGAAATATTTGTGGAGTCCTGCAGCTCAGTGGTTAGAGCACTCGCTTTGCAAGCGAGAGACCTGAGTTCAATTCCAGGCAGAGGGCGAAACCTTGGGCAAGTTTCCTTACTCCACACAGAGCCTAATAATAATCCCTCCAAAACCAACAACAATAATAAATTCATCATTTTCAATCTACGACTGTTTGTGGGACATCGCTGTGCGCAATCGGCCGCCGCGTTCGCCCACAAATATACAGTCGATTCACTTTACAGTGTGTTCTGTGAAGCGCTTTGGGACGTCCTCCTGACGTGAAAAAGCGCTATATCAAATGCAAGGATTATTATTATTATTATTATTATCATCTCTTCGCCTCGCGGGGAGGACCCGCTGGTTGGTTGCTCCCACGGTGTGAAGCTACGCGTACAAGCGGCCGTCCCGACAGGGCTCGGCTCGCCAGGGGCCGGCCACAGCGCTGAGCGTCCGACCCATTGGGGCTTCTTCTTCTCTTGACAAGGCGCTGAGGTCGTACGGTGGTGACTCCCCGTCACCCTAAGCCGATCGCCCGCCCGCCTCACGGCTGTCCCGTGGGGAAGTCGCCGGGCGCGCACTGGCCGCCGCGTTCGCCCACGAGAGACACAGTCACTACACTTCACGCCGGCGGACCCTGTCGACCTGATGAAGGCGCCCTATCAAAAGGGCGAGGGCTGGTGAGAGAGGGGGTAGTGTGACACCTCTCCATCGCTGCCGTGTGTTTGTGGTTGTTTTTTTTTTGCTACGCCTCTCGTGATTGGCCGCAATCCGGGTCGAACGCCGGGCTCTTGCCAGCCCTCTCCCGATTGGCCGCCGCTGCCTGAGCGCGGCCCTGCGATTGGTTGGTTGGTTGGCGGCGGAGGAGGAAGGCGGAGCTGCGAGCGCGCGCGCGCGCGCGGCCGGCGATTGGCCGACTCCTCGGCTGACGCGCATGGGTCGACGGCTCAGCCAATGGGGAGCGGCGGCCGCTCCGTGGCGCGGGCGGGCGGAGCAAAAAGAAGAGCCCCGGTATCCCTGCGCCAGGTGAGGCGGCGGGAGCGGACGAGCTGAGACGCCTCTCGACTGATTTTAAAGTCGGTTACCGGCGCGGTTGACGGTATTTTATTCCGCGGGGGGGGCGGGATGGGAAAAAATAGCCGCCCCACACCCCCCTCAACCGCGTCTGGAGCCGCGCGCTCTTTCGTACCCGCGGATGGAGATCACGGCGAGAGGGTGTAAAGCGGCGGAGGGAGAGAGAGGGAGAGAGAGAGGGGGCGGAGTCCGGCGGTCAGTCCACAGTCTGGCGGCGGGGAGTCAGGTCGTCAGCGGAGCTGCTCCCTGAGGCCGCGGATACGTTTGTCACAGCCTCGGGGTGGGGTGGGGAGAGCGGGCACTGTGGGAGTGTGGGAGGGGGCACAGTGTCAGAGTGTCACAGTGACTCCCTGCCCTTCCCTCCCAGCAGCCGGGCGGCATGTCAGAGCCCCATCATGTCAGCCAACCCATCATGGAGTCCAAGGTGCTGTGGTACCCGGACTCCAAGAGGGACACTCACATGGACCGCTTCAGGGAGTTGGTCAACCACAAGTTGGCCACCAGTCTGAGTGAGTGTGTTCGCCCGGGGTCGGGTTTCTTCTCCCCCACTCCGCGCCCCCCACTCCGACACCCCCACTCCGCGCCCCCCACTCCGCGCGCGCCCCCACTCCGCGCCCCCCCACTCCGCGCGCGCCCCCACTCCGCGCGCCCCCCCACTCCGCGCCCCCCCCACTCCGCGCGCCCCCCCACTCCGCGCCCGCTCCCACTCCGCGCGCGCCCCCTCTCCGCGCCCCCCACTCCGCGCCCGCCCCCACTCCGCGCCCGCCCTCCCAACCCAACTGCGCTTTCGGCCGCTCTGCCCCGAAACTCTGGAACTCTCTTACCTCCATCCCTCCGCCTTGGCCCCTTCCTTTCCCCCCACTCCCCCACCACTCCCGCCCACTCCCCACCAATCTCCAGGTCGTGTCTCTTTGACCGGTCACCTTGGCATCATGTTCCGCCACCGTCAAGCACTCTGGGACTCCCACCTTGCATGAGGGGCGCTATATAAATGCAAGTTGTTGTTGTTGTTGTTGTTGAGCGTAAGGGGCCCAGCCCTGAAAAGCACTTCCAGGGGAGTCGATGAGCAACGTTTGTTTGAGACAGTGTTATAAACATCGTAAATAACTCTTGTCTGTCTGTCTGTCTGTCTGTGGGGGTGGGGTGGGGGGTAATAGTCAGTTAATCCTTTAAACTAAATGTGGAATTTGATGGATATTCCTTTATGTTTATCTCAAAGGGATGGGAGCCCTGCTCTATTCTGCACCAAAATGCCAGCCCTGTTTCTGCAGAAGATGCCCTAGGGAGGGAGAGAGAGAGAGAGAGAGAGAGAGGGGGCGGGAGGGGGTTGGTGAATGCATCGAGTCTCTCTCTCTCCCCAATCCACTCGCTTTGCCAAATTCCTGAGGCTTTACAGACTGCAAAAAGGGGCTCTTTGTACATGTGCAATCTGAGATCCCACAGGGGACACGGAGAGGATGGTGGAGGCAGCGTAATAGTAAAACCAGGGGCAATGCCTGTCAGTTCACCAGCTGGCTGTCACCTCCCAGGCAAATGTTGGTCTGCAGAGGATGTGATCGTGAGTTTCGGCACTGTTTACACGAGTTTTTGTGAATGGTCTAAGATGAGCGATCTTATTAGCAACAACAAATTGCATTTTCGTGGGGACCTGTAGCGTAGTGGTTAGAGAACTTGCCTCACGAGCGAGAGGACACGGGTTTTGATTCCCGGGCGGGATGAAACCTCAGGCAAGTTTCCTTACTCCACATGTGCCTCTGTTTACCTACCATTATGTGGGAACCTGGTTGTTAGTCGATTGGTGGATTGCTTTCCAGGGGTAATAATCACTCCCCCCAAAAAATGGTCACTCAGTCCACAATTGTTTGTGGGACACTGCTGTGCGCTATTAGCTACCACACTTCACGCACAAAATACAGTTAATTCACTTGACAATATATTCCCTGAAGCGCTTTGAGATGTCTCAACACAGTCACTAGACCTCACTGTCATTCCCTGCAAAGCGTTTGCGGAGATGTCTCAACGCTGTATCAAATGCAAGGATTATTATTATTATCATTAACTCTGGTCAGCACAGAAGGTGGAGTGTGAAGAAACTTAAGTGGCCTTCCTGTTTTCTAGCCAATTACAGCGAGCTGTATCACTGGTCAGTGGACAACTACGCAGAGTTCTGGGCAGAGTTCTGGAAGTTCAGTGGATTCGTTTACTCTCGCAATTATAACGAGGTAAGGCTACGTTCTCATACCCACTCCCCCCCACCCCCCCAACAACAAATTACATTTACGCAGTGCCTTTCATGTCAGGAGGATGTCCCAAATAGAGTTCAGTTTGGTCAGAAAGCAAAGAGACTGGATCCATCTCACAGTTGGATGGAATGAGGGGCGAGGCGGATACTGGGAGATCGCCAGGACCTGATAGCAATATAACAACCTATACATTTGACGATGTGCCTTATCCCTTCGTCGAGATGTCGCCACAAGCGCTTTCCAGGAAGTGGCAATGTGTCATTTGAAGGCGAATGTGGCAGTTCATTTTGCACACAGCAACGTCACTGAACAAACACAGCCACAGACGGGGGGGGTGGGGGTAAGTGGTGGGGGACACCTTAGTCTGAAGGATGGCACCTCTGACAACCCAGCACTGCGCCGCAGTGTCAGCCTGGGCTGTGACAGCTCAAAAGTCCCCCAACCCTCTGATTCTGAGGCGGGGGTGGGCTGGGGGGGGGGGGTTGGTGGTGCTGTTATTCCCCCACAAAATTCACAGTCACTTCACTTTACAGTACCATGCCGTGATGCGCCTTGAGACGTCTCAACGGCGTGATCAGGTGCTGTATCGAACGCAAGATTTGTCGTTATTATTTATAATGTCTCAGTGACGACTTACTGGGAGCGGCGAGATAGCCATAAATAAATGGTGGCCGAGATATTGACAGCTGCGGTGAGTAGTTAAGCCGGGGTTGAGGCAGCAGGAATTGACTGTGTCAGTTATTCTGTGATTGCTGGGGCCGGGGTGTGAGCTGTGATGTGGGTCTTGCCCTCAGGTGATCGACAGGATGAAGACGGTGGCGGATTTGCCCGAGTGGTTCAGCGGGAGCCGGTTAAACTACGCCGAGAACCTCCTTCGCCACAAGGAGGAGGACAAGGTAGCTCTGTACGCGGCAGGTAAGCCTCACCCCCCCCCCCCAACAACCACACTCACTCCCTCCCTCCCTCTCCATACCGGGTCTCAAGTCAGTGTCATTGCTCAACCGCCCACTGCCAAAGGCTCAGAGGGAGGTAACTGGGAAGTTAGGGGGTATCAATCCCACCCAGTTACTCTCCCCCGCTCTCCCCAGTTACTAAGCTCAGCTGTGTGGGCGGGTGGTGGGGGGGGGCAGTAGCCAGTATTCCCTTTCCAGAGTAATAATCCCTTCAAGATAAATAAATAATAAATTGGTCACTCAATCCACGACTGCTGCGGGCAATTCGTTGCCGTGTTTCTCCCGCAAAGTACACCGTCACTCCACTTTACAGTATATTAATCTGCAAAGCGCTTTGAGACGTCTTGAAGACATGAGGCGCAATATCAAAGGCAAGGATTATTATTACTATCATTATTATTAATTCTGCACCAACCGACCTCACAGCAGAGATTCTACAAACCCGGGTGCGCTGGGACGTTTGACCGGTGGCCGTGAGGCGGGGCTAACAGGCTGATTGCTTTCCAGGGGAAGGGACCGAGGAGGTGGTGAAAGTCACCTTTAAGGAGCTGAAGAGACGAGTGGCTTTGTACGCAGTCGCTCTGCGGAGGGCAGGAGTGAACGTCGGGGACCGAGTTTTGGGTACGTGACACCGTTATCTGACGTAGGGAGGGATGTGCGGCGATAGGATTAAGTGGGTGGGTTTGGTGTGGGGGTGGGATGGTTATAGACTTTGCTGCCCTTCCTGTGTGGTTGTCATGCGATGTGGGATATATAACAGAACTGGAAACGTCTCTGCTCGGGTCGACACCAGGCGAGCTCACGGCCCCTGCGCAAAAAAAAAAAACTGTCTCTGCTCAGCCTGTTCCCAAACCCCAGCCCGCAGCATTCCGAGCACGGCATTCCCGCTCCGTATTGGGCTGATCCAAGCGGTCCCTCAACATGCAGGGAATCTCTCTCTCTCTCTCTCCCTCTCTCAGTCCATCTCCCTCTCCCTTACTCTCTCTCTCTCTCTCTCATTTTGTCACACATCCTTACTCTCTCTGTGTGTCTCTCTCACACTCTTTCCCTTTCTGCCTTTTACTCTCTCTCTCTCTCTCTCTCATATACTGTTTCTCTCTCTCTCTCTCTGTCAGGAGTTGGCATGCTGCCAAACAGGTACACGAAGCAGGATTCCGGGCCCTGCCCTAAGCAATGGGCCTTCCTTCACACACGCACACGCACACACATACACGATCCCGACGTGGCAGTGAGCTCATACTGTCACTGAGGCCCATATATTGCGTGTGTGTGTGTGTAGGAGGTGGGTGGGGGGGAAAGCTAAAGGATTTCGCCCTCTCCATCCTCAGATCCTGGCTCTGCATTAAATCATTAAACTCTCTGAGACACTGCCCTGATTAAAGGTGCCATAATATACATATACGTGTGCAAGTTATTGTTGTAACCAAACCCTTCACCTCTGCCTACCCTGCTGTGGTGTTGCCGCGCTGGTAATACCACGGTGTAGCCTGGCGACGGCTGTGTCTGGCCACGAGCTGGGATCTGCCAGCTCGGGGTTCCCGAGGGGGAGGGGGGGAAGGCGAATGTCCTGTCCCACCGCTCCCCCTCTGACCCTCGCTGCCTTCCTCGCAGGTTATCTGCCGAACAGCGTCCATGCAGTCGAAGCCATGTTGGCCACCGCCAGCATTGGTGCCATCTGGAGCGCAACCTCCCCCGACTTCGGCGTGAACGTGAGTGGGGCAAAGAGAGCGGCTGCCAGCCAGAGGCTGGATGGGGGTCACGGGAGGATGGGGTCGGCGGGGTGCGGGGGTTCTGGATGGTTGAGGGGTTTCTTCAGTCGACACCCTCCACCCCCACAGAAATTTAAATCTACCAGGGCCTTGGGACGTCCTCCTGACGTGGAAGGCGTTGGACAGTCTAATTTGATGTTGTCTTCAGCCGGTCAGACTGGCTCTGGTGTTTGGTTCATGTTTGCTCTCCTGGCGGCAGAGGGTGTGACCAGAACGTCGCACTCACACGCACTCACTCACTCACGCAAACACTCACTCACTCACTCACTCACTCACTCACTCACTCACTCACTCACTCACTCACTCACTCACTCACTCACTCACTCACTCACGTACATCAGATATGTTTTTTTTTAATAAACCCTTAAATCTGCCAATGTCTGGGGTTTCCATGTAAATGCGATGTCTCGAAGGGCTTTACGGCTGATTAGAACTGAGTATTGCGCAGTCCCCGAGGCTGTGTTAGTAACTCGCTGGTAACCGCTGTCTGCTCGCTCTCCCCATAGGGGGTCCTGGACAGGGTCTCCCAGATCCAGCCCAAAGTTATGTTCTCCGTCGACGCTGTGGTTTACAACGGCAAAGAGCACAACCACATGGAGAAGCTGCTCAGCGTGGTCAAAGGTAACGTGTGGCCCAGGTCTAACCGTGAGCCCCACTCCCTCCCAGGTTTCTGTCCCGGTGTCCTGGCTGACGCAACCCCCAGATTGATTACTCGCTCGCTCCCCACGAGGCTGTTTGTGGGACACTGCGTTTGTCAACTGACCATCGCGTTTGCTGGCTGCTGCGCTGGTTTGGTGTTGGCGCTGAACGGACGCTGATCGCACATTTGGGTGACGGTCCCCGGCCCCCAGTTACGTGGTGTTGTGTTGGGGTTTCAGGGCTGCCGGACCTGAAGAAGGTGGTGTTGATTCCGTACGTGCGGCCGAGGGCGTCTGTGGACCTGTCCAGGATCCCGCACGGGTAAGGAGCCCCAGAGCGGCTGTAACATCCCGTAGCTCAGTGGTTAGAGCGCTCACCTCGCAACCTTAAGATGACTTTCCTTAATCCACATGCCTAGTTAAGCGGTAACTAGCAGTAAGCAGGAGCCCGGTCGTTAGTCAATTGGCAGATCACTTTCTGGGGGGGAATTAATCCCTTCAAATAAATAAATAATTAGGCCACTCAATCCCCGACTGCTTGCGGGCCGCTGCTGTGTGCAATTGGCTGCTGGATTTTCTCCCACAAAATACATAGTCACTCCAGCTTTGAGACGTCTCAATGAGGTGATAAGGCGCCGGATCAAATGCAGGGCCTATTATTATGATTACAATTGTACGTCTTGTTGTGGTAGCATTTTCCTGGATGACTTCCTGTTGATGGGGAAAGGCTGCCCGGCCCCACAGCTGGAGTTTGAGCAGCTGCCGTTCAACCACCCGCTCTTCATCATGTACTCGTCAGGGACCACCGGAGCCCCCAAGTGTATGGTGCACTCGGCTGGGGTAGGTTCTCTCTGCGGGGGGGTGTGGGTGGGGGGGGGAACGCGTGTCACAAGACACGCTCTAATTGCGGAAACGCTTTATTCCCCGCACGCGTGTCTAATTGGCCGTGTGTATTGGAAGGATGGGGTGATTCTACGCTGTCTGTGGGATGAGTTGAAGCAGGGTGAGCCCTGCGGAGTGGGTGGGGGGCTGGCGGGGCAGGGGGTGGGGCGGGGGGGGGGGGGGGGAGAATGCACGATCCATTCCAATACACGGGAACAGGAATGCGTCTGACGCTCAGCACCGACCAGAGACATCAGCGGCTGAGAGGGAGAAAGAGCGAGAGCGCGGGGGGGGTGGGGGGGGAGAGTGGGGGCTGACTCCCGGGGGTGTTGGGGTGAGAGACTGGGGCGGCTTGAGGACCAGTCATCGATTGATCAACGCCGCACTCCCCACTGGCCCGGAACTCAGGGCGGCCGAGGCTCGCAGTCACAGGAACGCGCCACCGGAGGGCAGCCTCGTCACGTCTACGCACAGTCGGTGAACGCGGCTTCGAACCCCGGCCGGTGACGTTGACGTCGATTATAAAAAGAAAATCTGCTGCTGTTAAGAGAAGGGAGTTTGTTTCTCTCCCGGTGTTGCGGCTGACGTGTGTCCGGATTAAAAACCCATCCCTCTTTTTTTTCTTTTTTTTTTTTTTTTCGGGCCGGCCCCCGAGGCGTCTGTGACACCCATCCGCGCGGAAAGGATTCAAACCAAACTGAGAGAGAATTCCGTGCATCCCAAATCCCAACCACTGATCGCTCAGTTGTGCATGGGACGCGGCTGGGAGCAAATCGGCCGCTGCGTTCACCTGCACAGTACAGTATCCAGTACGACATGCTGTTGGTGGTTGCTCGGGCGGGCGGGCGGGCGGGTTGTTGAGGAAGTGATGGGAGACGGGAGCGAGTGACTAACAGTGGGCTGTGTTTCAGGGCACCCTCATCCAGCACATGAAGGAGCACATTCTCCACGGCAACATGAAGAGCAGCGATGTCATCCTGTACTACACCACCGTACGTCCCAGCCCTGCGCACACACACACACACACACACACACACAGACAGACCCCGGCCTCTCCTCTCTTGTCAATCCTCTCCATTGCCGGAGCCACACGCATCCTTGCGACTGTCAGAGAACACCCCGTCGTTTAACCAGCCAGCCGGTCGCCTCGCTCGCCCGCTCGCTCGCTCGGCCCTGTGACCCACCACCGCGCCCTGATTTGTTTGTCCCTCGGCGTAAATTCACGCGAAATTGTCCGCGTGATTGAACGGGAGGAAAAGGTCTATTTGAATCCGAGACAACAACAACAAGATTCCATTTATTGAGCGCCTTTCACGTCGGGAGGGACGTCCGTTTGAGACGACTCAAACACTGCCCTTAGTGTTCAGTTTGCGCTATTTCCCCCCTTTCGCTGATGTGTGGGTAGGGGGTGGAAGTGGGGGAGTGGGCGGGTGATTGGTCACACAGTCCCACACCTTCCCCCCCCCCCCCCCCCCCCCCCCACCACACCGAGCTACTAACCCTCTCCTTGTGCGTTGCAGACGGGCTGGATGATGTGGAACTGGCTGATCTCCGCGCTCTGTACAGGAGCCTCGGTGGTGCTGTACGACGGCTCCCCCCTTGTGCCATCCGCTAACGTGCTCTGGGACCTGATAGACCGGCTGGGGTGAGGCTCTCGCTCTGTTCCGTTCCCTGTCACTCGGGCTGGGCCGAGTTCGTCTAATATGGTCAACAGTGAATGGTTAAATGTTAGCGGGTGTCGGTGGGGGTGTGTGTGTGTGTGTGAGGAGACAGCGCAGAGTGAAACAACTGGAGCAAAGTCTTGACGTTCACTATTTTTTCTCTCTCTCTTTCTTTCCCAGGATTACAATCCTCGGCACTGGTGCCAAGTGGCTGTCAGTTCTGGAAGAGAAAAAGCTGAAGCCAGGTAATGAGAGTTGAGCTGCCGGAGGACTGTCCTTCCTGCCTCCCACCCAAATCCATCAAACCGAGCATTCCCGTGGCGCTGTTGGGAATCAGAACGGAGTCTCTCTCCCGCCCGGTGGCTCGACTCGCGGCTGTTTGCAGGGGGGTGTCGCTGTGCACAGATTGGCTGCCGCGTTTCGCCCACAGAATGCACAGTTTGCTGCACGATACAGTAATGTCCTGTAAAGCGCTTGGAGACGACTCATCAACATGGCAAAGTGCTATAGCAAATACAACTGTCATATCATTTTATTAGGGCAGAACTTTTTGCGCTTGTTGGCGGAGGAGGGTGAGGGGATGAGTCCTGAGCTTGTGGTGTCTGATGCTGGTCAGTAACCCCCGTTTCTCCCCCCTCCCCACTCACACTCTCCCTCCGTGTGTGTTTTGCAGCTGAGACTCACAGCCTCCAGACGCTTCACACCATCCTCTCCACCGGTTCCCCCCTGAAACCACAGAGCTACGACTACGTTTACCAACACATCAAGAGCAGCGTCCTGCTGGGCTCCATCTCAGGTGAGGGGTCACGCGGGACGAGCTCTCCCTCCCTTCCTCTGTCCCTGCCTCTCTTTCTTTCTCTCCTTCCCTCACGTCTCTCTCCCCCTCTCTCTCTCTCTCTCTCCCAAATCTCAAAGCAGACATTTTGGAGCTTTGGAAACATAAGCCTTCGGTCCCACAGTTACAGGAGAGGCCATTCAGCCCCTCCAGCTTATTCTGAACGCTGGCCCTCTGGGTTGGTGCTGGCATTTTCGCTCGCGTGGAGAGATGGGCTCAGGGGCGGATGGGTGGAGGTGCGGGCGGGGGGTGAAGTTGTGAAATCCACTGACTTTTATTTCATCGCTTGGCGCGATGCCTGCGTTCTTGCCTGGCTCTCTCTCGCTCTTTCTCTCTCTCTCCCTCTTTCCCTCTCGCTCTCTCGCACTTAATCAGACTGCTATCACAAATTTTACAGGAGTGGGGGGGGGGGAGAGAAAAACAACCTTGGTAACTTTGCCAGAGCATCAGAGTTCAGCCAAGCTTGAAAACTGATCACTGTAGCCCAGGCGCTGGGAACCCAAATATAACCGTGACGACCATAATAATTACTGGCTCCGAGTTATTGCTGAGACTCGCAAAAAAAAAACAACAAATACTGATCCCTCCGTTTGTACAGTCGGCAAATCCTGCTTAATACAGGTGATAAATAAAAGCTCGTCGTGCGTTACTGCTTTCAAGAGATTTTTGGCTGAGCTGTGAGAAAGATGGTGAGGTTGGGGCGGGGGGAAGGTGTGGGGACGTGTTCGGGGGGCGGGGACACGTGTGGGGTGTGGTACGTGAGTGTGGTGGGCTTTTGTGTGCGTTTATGAGTGTGTGTGGGAGGGACGTGTGTGTAGGGGGAGGCGTGCGTGCGCGCATGGGGGGTGAGGGGGGGGCGCGGGAATGGTGGTGGGGCACTTGTGTGTGCACGCGGGGGCGGGCGGCGCAAGCGCCTTCCAGCGATCTCGCAGGCGCCTGGACTGGTGGACGGATATTAGTGGAGGTCGTTGACCGTTTATTACAGCTTCTGGGTTTCTTTGGCCGACTTGCTGAGTTGTAGGAGACGCTGCAATCCTTTCTCCTTCTTTTCCACCCTCTCTCTCCCCTTTCTCCCCCCCCGCACCCCCCCCCCCCCCCCCCACCACCTGCGTCACTGAGAATCGAGCTGGATGTTGCCTGGTGATTAGTTACACAATGTGGTGGGCCACATTTATTGCCTACACTTGCTTGCTTCACATCCAGCCGTCGCCTCTGTCTCTCTCCAATTCTCAGCTCGCTAACATGGTTCGTTCCTTTGACTGTTAATGACAGACACGCTGGCTCCCTGGATTGATTGCGTGTGCGTGTGAGTGTGTGTGTGTGTGGTGGGGGGGGTTGGGGCGGTTGCGGGGGGAGGGGGGGGAGCCAGCAAAGATGAGTTTACTGTCAAAAGATGTTACCGTGATAACTGCCATCTCATTGTCTCTGGGCAAGTCAGAGCTGGTCCTCTGTGATTGAGGGATGGTGAGCCGTGAGCGTCGGCTTTAGCGACGCCTTAACTAACGACTGCAACAACAAACTACGTCGGGAGGACGTCCCAAGGCGCTGGACTGGACGGTCAGGGATTTTTGGACCCGAACTGGAGTTCGGGGTCAGGAGGGTCTGGGTGGGAGGGTGACTGAAGGCGCGGACAAAGAGGAAGGTCTTGTGACGTGGCTTGAAGGTGGGAAGGGGAGGGGGCGAGGCAGGTTGGAGTTCCAAAGGATGGGGGCAAAGAGGCTGAAGGCCGACCGCTGCAGGTGGGGTGGGGGAGTGGGGGGGTGGGGGGAATCAAGGATGTGCAAATAGCGGGCGATTTCATGTGGGATTGAGCCTGAGAGAGAGTGGTGCCAGAGAAGAGGAGGGGGAGGGGGGAGAGAGGGAGTGGGGGCTGAGGGACACACATGACACTTGCTGTTTCCCTGCAGGCGGCACAGACATCATCTCCTGCTTCATGGGCCACAACTTCACGGTGCCGGTGCACAGAGGAGAAATCCAGGCCCGAAACCTCGGCATGGCTGTGGAGGCCTGGAGTGACGAAGGTCAGTCAGCGAGCCTACTCCTCCTCCTCCTCCTCCTGTCTCATTCCCATTCTCCGGTCCCTCTCTCCTCTCTCTCTCTCCCCCTCCCTCCCTCCCCCTCTTGCTCCCTCGCCTCGCTGGGACTTTTCTGGGGTAATAAATCCTCCGAAAAAAAATTATAATAATTATAAAATAATAATAATTGGGACACTGCTGCACGCAGTTGGCTGCCACGTTTTGCCCACAATAGACACAGTCGATTAGTTTTACAGGATATTCTATGAAGCCTTTTGAGACGTCTTAACCACCGGATAAGGCACTGTATCAAATGTAAGGATTATTATTATTACCTGTCTGCGTATCTGGAGGTTCAACTGTGGGGGATTATTGTGTAGCTGTAATGTCAGCGCTGTACCAGCCACGTCAAGGCGGGCGCTTCCTGGGAATAATATTAGAGAATGAGTATCCGCAGGGGATGGAACGTGACATTGACTCTGTGTGTCTCTCTGTGTGTGTGTGTCTCTGTTTTCTGTGGTGGCTGTGTGTGTATGTTGTGCGCGTGTGGTGGCTGTGTGTACGTGTACTCGTGCGCGCCTGTGTCTGTGTGTGTGTGTGTGTAGGGAAGCCGCTGTGGGGAGAGAGCGGGGAGCTGGTGTGTACCAAGCCCATGCCTTGCCAGCCCACACACTTCTGGAACGATGAGAGCGGCAGCAAGTATCACAAGGCATACTTCTCCCGCTTCCCAGGTACGGCGAGGGGGTGGATGGTCGGGGTCGGTCACACACATACGGGGTGGGGGTGTGGGGGGCTTTCCAAAATTGCGGTTGAAAAGACGGGCATAAAGAATAAAGACCAGTGGCCACGGTCTCAGCTGCATCACGTGGCGGTGGGAGGTGCGAGGGGAAAGGGGTCAGTCACATACACGGGTGGTGGGTGGGTGGGGGGGGGGTCAGTCACACGAGAATAATGACTGATCTCGACTGACCTTGACCTGCAGGTGTTTGGGCTCACGGCGACTACTGTAAAATCAACCCCAAGACGGGGGGCATCATGATGCTGGGCAGGAGGTACGTCGCTGAGCTCTGCCAGGGTGGGGGGGAGGGGAGGGGTGGGGGTGGGAGATATACGCTTCGCTCTCACCGCCGTTTCCCTGTCATTCCGTCTGAGCACTCCTATCTCGGATAAGACGTTAAGGTGGACGTTAAAGATCTCCTGCGACCCTATTTGAAACAAAAAGAAAGAACTCCCTCCCTCCCTCCCCAATGCTCTGGTCGAATATCCTCCAATACGCAGTCGCTGCTGCGAGACGTCTAGAAGACGTGAAAAGCGCTACATCAAATGCAAGGATTATTATTATTATTATTTATGGTGCATTCCCGTGAAGCGCTTTGAGCTGTCTCAACGACGCGATAATGCGCCGTACGTATCAAATTGCAAGGATTATAATTATCTTCTTCTTCTGCCCCCTCTCTCTCACCCCCTCGCCCCCGCGACCCCACACAGCGATGGAACGCTGAATCCAAACGGAGTGCGGTTCGGCAGCTCTGAAATCTACCACATCGGTAAGTGTTAAGCAACGTGGTGTGGGGTGGGGGGGAGGGGATAGGACTCCTGGATTGCCGGGGGGGTGCGAGAACGCTGTGTGTGTGTGTGTGTGTGTGTGAGTGAGGGGGTGGGCTGCCCAGCCTCACTCCCTGTGCTGACGGAGCCCGGGTGCCTGTGCTGCAGTGGAGGCGTTCGAGGAGGTGGCGGACAGCCTGTGTGTGCCGCAGTACAACCAGCACGGGGAGGAGAGGGTCATTCTCTTCCTGAAGATGGCCAGCGAGCAGCCCTTCAGCCCCGAGCTGGTGGGCAGGATACAGAGGGCCATCCGTGCCGGCCTCTCCGCCAGGCACATGCCCGCCCTGGTGCTGGAGACCAAAGACATCCCGGTGAGTGTCCTTGTTGTTCTTGTTGTGGTTGGGCTGAGGTGGGGCGGGGGGGGAATGTGGCGTGTGTGTGGGGGGGGGGGGGGGGGAAGTGATATGACGGTGGTTGGGTGTGTGGGGGAGGTGTATGTGTGTGTGGGGGGGGTTGGTGGGAGAGTGTGTTTGTGTGGGGGGAGCGTTTGGTGTGTGTGGTGGGGCGGGGGGTGTCTGGGGGGCTGCGGTGTGTATGCGCAGGGAGTTGGTGCACTGGGGGTGGGGTGTGAGGAGGGGTGGGTGGGGGCTCGTGTCTGTGCCGGACGCCCTGTGATCGCCCCCTCTCTGATGCCCCCCCACCCCCTTCTCCCCGTCGCTCCCCAGTACACCATCAGCGGGAAGAAGGTGGAGGTGGCCGTGAAGCAGATCATCGCGGGGGTAGAGTTGTTGCCGCGGAATTCCTTCTCCAACCCACAATCCCTGGACCTGTACCGCAACATTCCTGAGCTCCAGAACTTCTGACCGTCCTTCCATAAGGAAAGCCAGCCCGGAGAGCGCTGTCTGGGTTTAACAGGCCAGCGTTCCCGCACCGGGCAGCATTTATTCCCTCGCTAACCACCCGCTCAACTCATCCGGCCGATCACAACCTTGTCCTCAGAAAGCCAGCCTAGCAGTAGTGAGGTCTCCCTACAGGAACTCGTCCTGGCAATCGTTCCCCTTTGTAGAGAGAGAGAGAGAGAGAGAGAGAGAGCGTGAGAGAGACACACAGAGAGAGAGAGAGAGAGAGCGTGAGAGAGACAGAGAGAGAATAAGAGATACTGATATATATTAAATCGAGGAGTACCGTTGTATAATTTTCATTTGACTTTGTATTGTTAAATTAATTCTCGGCACGTTTCAACCGTTCTGTGTGTTTTTAAGTGACGGGGAGAAGGGAGAGAAAGAGGGGCAAGAGAGAGTAGGGGGTGGGGGAGAGAGAGAGAGAGAGAGGGGGGGAGGGAGTTGGCTTATTACGATGTCTCTATAAGCTGTGCCCTAGTTTTCACCGTGTGTGGTTCCTGTAACAGGAATCTTTCTCCGTGTTAAGCTCAGTGGAACTACATAGTAACTCCCTGCATGTGGCTTGTGCTTGTTTTGCTGGGTGTATCTTACTCGGGTCGGTCGGGGGTGGGGGGGGGGGGTGTGGGTGGTGGGGGTGGGCGCTGGGGTTAAATTGAGAGATTATTTAATGATCGGTGTTATTTATTGTGTCGTGGGCTCCAGCTTTCTATCCGCTTGATCTATTTAATTGACGGCTATCATTGTGTGCATCCTAACCTTCCCCCCCACCGCCCCCACCCACCCGACTTTTAGCTGCTGTGACTCTATTGAAAGGGGATATGTCTTAAAGCTATCCGAGGCCACCAAATTCTCCTGCCACTCAGCCTGAGGACCGCTGCCTTCACGTCTCGCCTCCCAAAACATACGGGAGTCCCCGTAGCGTAGTGGTTAGCGCTTTAGCCTCACAGGCGAGAGGACCCGGGTTCGATTCCCAGGGCGAAACCTCTCGGCAAGTTTCCTTATTCCACACACACACACACACACACAGACACACGCCTCTGTTTACCGAGCAGTAAGAAGGAACCTGGTTGTCAGACGATTGGTGGATCGCTTCCCGGGGGTAATAATCACCCCCCGCGCCCCCCCCCCCCACCCCAAACAAAAAGGTTCACTCAATCAGCAGCTGTTTGTGTGCAATTGGCTGCCGAGTTTCGCCCACAAAACATACATTCAAATGAACTTGACCATGGTTAAGGCAGTGGGGCTAAGGCTAAGGCCGTGAGTAATTTCTGGCCTGTTGTCTCGCACTTTTTTGTCCTATAATGCACTACGCCCCCGACTCAGCTCAGCGTAGCATAGCTTCACACTGGGCTTCTCCAAAGCACCCCACCCTACCCCCCCCCCCACCCTCACTCTGAGTGACGTTGCCCAGTGCGTTTCCGTGTGCCCCCGCTTCGCGCCCGCCCCGCCCAGTGCCGGCTCAGCTGTAACAAGGCATCGAGAGTTTCCAGCATTTTAAATGTGAATCTGTTCTGTGCTGTACGTGTTCCTTTGGAGAGAAAAAAATAAAATTTTATATTGCGGGTGCGCTCTCTCTCTCTCTCTCTCTCTCTCTCGTGTTTTCTCTCTTGTATTCCCTCTTCTGTGTTTTTGCTCCACACTCCTCTGTTTCCCCCCCCCCATCTCTCTCTCTCTCTCTCTCTCTGTGTCCTGGCCTGATTTCTCTCCCCCGGTTCAGTTGTAACCTGTGTCAGTGCCCTCTGAGCCCCTTGTTGTGGCCAGAGGGCCGATGGGCAACACAGCCATTGCTGAGTTGGCGGAGATGTCAGCAGACTGGCACAGCTCCCGGGCTGCGGGGAGTGTTATGTGTGGCCGGGCCGGGAACACTGGGGTGAATACCCCGATTCTTCACCCTCGGGAAGGGAATTTTCGATTGGAAAGTGGAATTCTCTTCTCCACAGATTCCGTTGCACCTCCGGTGTTGTTCTGCCCCCTCGAGCGCTCGCTGCGAGCTGTATTGACGTGCAAAATCAGTTGAAAGGGAGCCCCTTACTGCCGAGCGTAGTGACTGTGGATTTTGTGGGTCTGGCCGCCGGTCCTCACGGGTAAGCACTCGTCTGCACGGTGACTGTTTGTGGGACCTTCCTGGGCTCAAACACAGCCGTCGCGTTTTTGATAGCAACGACAGTCACTACATGTGCCAGGGGCGTTACCGTGGAGCTTGTTGCGATGATTGATGGGAGCTGTAGAGGTGGGTGGGTACAGGGGGAGGGGGGGGCGATGGGGGTGAGGGGGTAACTGGACTGTCAGCCTGTGCCGTCGGTCAATCAATGCTCCGCTCCCAGCCTAACACCTCAAGTCAATTACCCCGCGTCTCTGTCCAGTAAAGGAAGCTGAGCTTCTTGAGGCGGATGATCTCAGCGTTAATTACACACGGACACACTGTCCGGTCACAGTCAGAGCCTCACTTGGTGGGGTGGGGGGGGAACAAAATCAATTAGACAGAAAGGAGGAGGAGACTGGTGATGTGAGAGCGCGAGAGAGATGTCTGTGTGTAAAAGTGAGCAGGAGCGATGGAGCAACCTGATTGATTGATTGATTGATTGATTGATTGATTGATCAGTTGATCAGTTGTCACCTAACGTCACATCAGTGTTTAAACACGTTCCTAGATTATTACCGTCGCCACGAGAGTCCTCTTTCGCCCACAAAACACCCGGTCACCCCACTTTACAATATATCCTGTGAAGCGCTTTGAAACGTCTCGGTGACGTGATAAGGAACTGTATCAAATGCAAGGATTATTATTATGATGATGTGCAAAGAGGGTCAGGTTTAGTGCAAGTTATCATTGTTAAAAAAAATTACGTTTAAAAACATTTGTCGATATTACCCGTGAAAAGTCATGTATGTAAAAAAAAAAAAAACAATTTATTACACCCCTCTCACGGTCCCAGGTGGAGCGTTTGAACTGAAATCCACATGAAATCCAAACCCCATTAACTGGCTCCCGGGATAACATTCAGCATCTGTTTAATTGCTTGTTTTTTTTTCCTTTAATAGACGTTCTTGTGGGATGTGAGACTCACTGCCTTTCCATTAGCCGCTTTGGCAAAGTGAGACCTTTCAACTCACCCGTCTAATAATAGCTCCTGTTCCTGGTAGTGAAATATTGATTCCTCTTCACCAGACCCATCTGTCCATGTCTCCAGCAGGAATATTTCAAACCGCTGATCCGACAGATTTCCCCCCACTACGATTAATATTTGCTCTGAGCTAAAGACCCTTCGCCCTATTAATAATAATAATAATAATCCTTGCATTTGATATAGCGCTTTTCACGTCGGGAGGACGTCCCAAAGCGCTTCACAGAATATACTGTAAAGTGAATTGACTGTATATTTGTGGGCGAACGCGGCAGCCAATTGCGCACAGCAATGTCCCACAAACAGTCGTGGATTGAAAATGACCAATTTATTATTGTTTTTGTTTTGGAGGGATTATTATTAGGCTCTGTGTGGAGTAAGGAAACTTGCCCAAGGTTTCGCCCTGACCTGCCTGGAAATTGCACGTCCTCACTTTTAAAGCCCTCCATGGCCTTGCTACTCCCTTACCTCTTAACACCGTCCCAACTTGCCCGCTCCCTCCGCTCAGCCGGTAACAGGTACAACCTTAGGCAAGTTTCCCTACTCCACGCGCACACGCCTCTGTTTACCGAGCAATAAGTCGGAGCCCGGTTGTCATTTGATTAGCGGATCGCTTTCGGTGAGGGGGGGGGGGAGGGGGGGTAATAATCCCTCCAAAACAATTTCTTTGCCGCTCTGCGCAACACGCCCGCCGTGTTTCACACCCAAAAATGCACAGTCACTACACTTTGCAGTATACTCTGTGAAGGGCTTTGAGACGTTTCAAAGCCGTGATAGGGCGCTGTATCGAATGCAAGGATTATTATTGTTATTAATATTATTATCGGTGTGGAATGTCCATGCGCTGACACCTGTCTCAGCTTGTGTTGGAGTGTTGGGGGGTGGGGGGGGAAGTGTGTTGGGTGTGGGGGGGGGGGGGGGAACTTTGACTGATCTCAAAGCTCCCAACAGCGGAAGACCAGGAGATTACAGTCAGGCTTCAAACAAAAAAAACTAATGATTTTTATTAACATCTCGCTCTGTGTGTGTGTGTGTGTGTGTGTGTGTGTGGGGAGGGAGTGGGGGTACGTTTAGATCACCACCTTCGGGCAGTGCTGTGCTGTTGACTCTTTCCGTACAAATGTTCCGCAGCACCAAGGCCCCCGTCGAGTGTGTGGCACAGCGCCAACCCACCCACTAATTCCCCCCCACCCACCCAGCGCAACCCCTTTCCCCCATCACCGCCCTTTCCCCCCGGGGTTCAGCCTCACAACCCGAGTGATGGAGATGCGAAACTTCCCCGCCCCCCCCCCCCCCCCCACACACACCCCTTGAAGGGTTAAATCCCCGACAAGCGCGTGCGACACCCACAGGCTCCTTCACATCACTCCCGTGTCGCTAGGCAACACCTCCTTCCCTACCGCTCCTATTGTACTCCCACTCACTCCCCACCACCCCACACACCTGACTGCACGCTCTCACACACACGCACACCTGACTGCACGCTCACACGCTCTCACACACCTGACTGCACGCTCACACGCTCTCACACACACACACCTGACTGCACGCTCACACGCTCTCACACACACACACACCTGTCTGCACGCTCACACGCTCTCACACACACACACCTGACTGCACGCTCACACGCTCTCACACACACACACACCTGACTGCACGCTCACACGCTCTCACACACGCACCTGACTGCACACTCTCACACACACACACACACCTGACTGCACGCTCACACGCTCTCACACACACACACACACCTGTCTGCACACTCACACGCTCTCTCCCTCACACACACACACCTGTCTGCACACTCACACACTCTCACACACACACACCTGTCTGCACACTCACACACTCTCTCTCACACACACACACCTGTCTGCACACTCACATGCTCTCACACACACACTTATCTGCACCCTCACACACTCTCTCACACACACACACCTGTCTGCACACTCACACTCTCCCTCCCTCCCTCACACACACACATACACCAACATCATGTTCCCCAACTCCCCCCCACTCCCTCCTCCCTCGGATATGATGTTAAACCGAGTTCCC